GAGCGGTTCTCCTCAATGTAGTAATATCCCCATCATCGAAAACAACAGTATATTGACTGCAATCTTGAATTTTGGTAATTGTTGCTTCGACAAACTCCTTTTTATCTCCATGTCTGGCTTCAACAGATGCACCTACTCTCAAAGTTCCTTTTATCTGGTCGTCGGCTACAGTAGCAGTACCCAAACCTTGTTTATAAGTCACTCGGCATTTCACTGATCGTACTACTTTCCTTATCTTTGCTTCACAGAAGGCACCTTTGTATTTAGCACTTACCTCCGTACCCACTGATAGGTACGGTGGATCGTCTCCCTGTAACAAAAGAAATATACATATACAGAGTTAACATATGCAATCTATGTTATACCCACCTTCTTTATGGCATACTTATACGCACTACTTATACACTCACTCCTGTGTTGTCGAGAAAAAATCATTTAAATACGAGAACAATTGCCACATTAATTGACTCGGAGCAATAAAATAAACATACGCACAATGACAACACAATATTAATCCCGTTGATACCAGACGTTCATTATCAGGAGCTGCCACAAATGCATCGGTAATTTAAGCATATTTACGGAGGAATAAAAGAACCACTTATAATTTTAGAAGCATACAATGATACCTAGTTTTCCCACAAGCTGATATATTAACTAAAGGTATTTCTGGTAAACACAGAAAAGTTTATATATGGACTTATTGTTACTAAAAGGAATACAAAGCTTCAAGACATTTATCTGTTCTCTCATCTTCCACTGGTTTGATCAGAACATCAATCTCGTTGAATCAATATTAAATAGCTCTATATATCTATATGAAGGAAGAAAAGAAAAAAAAAATCTTTCACGAACAATGTAACGCAAGAGCCACAAAAACGCCAGCTGCCTTGCCACGACAAGCTATTGTTTATGTAGGCGGTCATGCTTCACAGGTACGAGCGATTATTCCCGGACCGGGAATGCCCTACGCTAAACAAGAATATCCGCGCGAAAGATGTTTCATTGCGGTAAGGCTCATACTTTGACGTCTTAATCGCGTTTTCAAAACGGAGTCCGCTACGTTCGTGACAGCCTGTCGATTTCTCGAATATCAGGCAATAGTCGTAACCTCTGAAGGTTCTTTAAGCGAGGCATTTGTCGAAGGAAAAGTAACCTGCAAAAGCATTGTAACTACATAACACAAAATCACGGATTTTCAACTTTCTCGATGTACACGACAGAAAGAATTGAATACAAAAAAAGAAAAGGTGAGCAAGGGAGCAAGAGATAGGGAGGGAGAGAGGGAGAGAGAGAGAGAGAGAGAGAGAGAGAGAGAGAAAGACAGAGACAGAACTCAAGTATACAATCTTTGCGCACTTGTTTCTACGTCAACTTTTCTCCCGCCTGTTTCCTTACCAGCATCTTCTAGCGCTCCACGATCCTCATATAAATGATCTTAAGACACTGGCGAACACGACACATTAAAATCGAGTTTCGACTAATACGTCGGATGTAACAACACTGGAGAGAGCACGTAGACACCGCGATTGACCCCCTTCGCGGAACCAACACTTCATGAGCCGAATGCGTACAAGCTCCTGTTCCCTGTTCCCTACTTCCCTGCCCATTTCCACCTCGACGCGACTTGTCAGCCAGCCACTCGACTCCTATTGGACGATGCCTTTGCACTTTCGGAAAACAACCGAACGAGAATACGGAATTTAAAATATCATTCTGCCTACCGATTAGCGATTACTTTCACAGAAATGAAATCGCATAAATAAAATACAATTTTTCGCTACGTTTTTTAAATAAATAAATATCCGTTTTGCCGGAAAATGAAAAGTGTGAGGGGGCCGTACTGCGCATACGACAGGGATGTATCAACGTCGTTTGTGATATCAAAATTCGGGTGGCTCTTCTGGGATGTTCGCAGAAGAAGCGAACTTATAAATTACTTCATTCGTAGCACACTTTGTAAGAACAAATGGGAACAAAGAACGATTCGTGTGGTGTTATTAAAATTTATGCGTATGTATTACGGGCTATTTGTAAGATAGAACAAGAAAGGAATAGGGTTTACGTGAGCGATTATCGTTTGTGAAATGAACTATGCTTGAAAATCGATAGTTTTCTTAAGTTATCAGTCGAAATGAGAGTTCTTTATTAATGACGTATTATTTGATGACGTATCTCAATATCCTTTGTATATTTTTCAGAGTGTCAATTTTTTCAAATCCCGTAAGTCGATATTGTGTGTACATCAGTGTACACACACACGCACACACACCACACACACAAACACAAACACAATCATACATGCATACCTACTAAGAATTGTCATTTCTATATGGAAATAGTGGTCAAATGACTCGTGGCGTCATCTGCGATGAAATGACCCAAGTTAGTAGTAATTGATATAATTTTTTGTCGTTAGATGGTACCACACGTCCATTTAGCGTATGTTCCGTAAAAACTCATATGTACATACATATTACATATGGGTGAAAAATGCAACAGACGGCGATAGTTATTGAATAATATCGATGTGCGAAACTTCAATAAATACATAGATGTCACCGAAGCACATTTCTATTTTCATATTTACCTAATATATGTAATACACTTTGTTTTTTCAGTTTTATCTGTTACAATGCATACACACTATGTTACTTACAACTTGTGTACATACATATATATGCGCGCGAAAGCGTGTATGTAAATACTATCAAGAAAATTATACCATGTAATAATGATATTGTATAACAGAAACGCAGTTAAGCTTTAATAAAAAGATTGATCTTCCATAAATTTGGTACGGCTATTGATTTTAATCACACGAAGAAAGGTATCAACACTCGATAAACTATTAACCGTATTTCTATGAAATAACAGTTAATTTCATTAACAAAGTTAACGGTGATAATGGAGCAATTCTACACAATCGCGGATAAAGCACGTTGAGCTTATCGACGAAGCGAATTTTGTTTAAATTCTCCAGGAAACATTCATTGATACAATAGAATGGTGTTTGCGAATTGCCATGGGTTTTTGTACGCTCCTGCCTATGGTCGTCTGCTGTGACGCGGAACAAAATGGCGTCGAGTAATGAAGTGCCGGTAGAAATCAACCAGAGTAGCATGTGCACCGCTGAAAATTCGGTAAGTTTCGATGGAATATTCTCACAGATAGATAGAAATAATATCTTTGCATAGTTCAGAACACATCAGTGTTAGCAGGAATGATAGGCGATACCTTACATACTTACTAAGAAGAAAAATGTTAGAACATCATTTGTCATAATAGTTTTCACTATGCCTTAGAATTTTTGGAAATAGATGGATCGATTCGGTCTGATTTTCTCAATTTTTTTTCTTTCTTTATAGCGTGTTCCTTGAGAATGCATTATAAGTGTTACGAATTATTAATTGATATTATCACGAGAAAATTTAGGTAGATTGAATTCCGTGTACAGACTAATCGTCACAGGATGGGCAGGGAAACGTGTGTGAGTGCACAGGAATCTCGACTGGTCACTCGATCTTAAACAGACGCCATTCGTTTTGGCGGGCACGTGTATACCGGTGTTGGCATAAAAGACCGTCTCCCCACAATTACGCCGATATCTAGTATTTTCCGTAACCGATGAACAACATTGTAAATAATGTTTTCTAATAATTCTTCTTACATTTAGACGCAAAGAGAAATATATATACATATATCTCTTAGTTCGAGATAATAATTATATGTCACGTGTTTGTAGATAACTGTAAATAGGTTTGTTTCACGTGTATGTAAAGCAGTTATTCTTTTTGAATTTCATTATACGTTTATTCCCTGATTAATAATAACAATTATTATTTTTAAATAAATAATGCAAAAATACCTTATTTCGATTTTAATTTCATGATTCTAACCATAGGTAGAATATTGTACAGAAAGTACATATATATATATATATATATACATATACGTATATATACTTTTAATAATTTTTGTGAATTATATTGTTACAGACATCGAAAATGGAGTCCATGGAAGTATCAGAGACCGCTGCTCCTGCATCAAACAAGGATACCATCCCATCCTCCTGCAAAGAGTCTGTCTCTGTGGAGGACATGACATCGCGTGATTATTATTTCGATTCGTATGCTCACTATGGAATTCACGAAGAAATGCTGAAAGATGAAGTACGTACGGTGACGTATCGTAACTCCATGTATCATAATAAACATCTTTTCAAAGGAAAAACCGTTCTTGACATTGGTTGTGGAACTGGTATTCTTTCGATGTTTGCTGCTAAAGCTGGAGCAGCTAAAGTTATTGGTATCGAATGTTCTAATATTGTTGAATATGCAGAAAAGATTGTAGAAGCAAATCAATTGTCGAATGTTATAACAATACTTAAAGGAAAGGTAGAGGAGGTATCATTACCAGATGGCATAGAAAAGGTTGATATAATTATTTCCGAATGGATGGGCTATTGCCTGTTTTATGAATCCATGCTGGACACAGTGCTTTTTGCTAGAGATAAATGGCTTCGCGAGGATGGTATGTTATTCCCTGACAAAGCAACACTATTTATTTGTGGCATCGAAGACAGACAATACAAAGATGAGAAGATAAACTGGTGGGACGATGTATACGGATTTGATATGAGTAGTATAAGGAAAGTGGCGATTAGCGAACCTCTGGTGGACGTTGTAGATCCTAAACAAGTTGTTACAAATGCGTGTCTAATCAAGGAGGTTGATTTGTACACGGTAACAAAAGCTGATTTAGAGTTCTCCTCTCCATTTACTCTACAAGTTCGTAGAAACGACTATGTTCAAGCACTAGTTACATTCTTCAACATCGAATTCACCAAGTGCCACAAACGTATTGGATTCAGTACAGCGCCAGAAGTACAGTACACTCACTGGAAACAAACTGTATTCTACTTTGATGAATATATGACAGTCAAGAAGGGAGAAGAAATATATGGTGTATTTTCTATGAAGCCTAACGCAAGGAACTACAGAGATCTGGATTTCAGCATTGAACTGGACTTTAAAGGGGAATTGTGCCAAGTACACGAAACTAATACTTATCGTATGCGCTGATACCTATAAGATGATACACATCTTCTTCCTTCTATTTTCGTGGATCATAAAACTGTGTAATCAAATAGAACATCGGGACATTGATTATTATTGACTTAGATGATTTAATAATGTTCAATAGTACGGTACAATGAATGGTATTATGAATTATTTAAATGATTTTAACGCATATGTAATACTAAGAAACTTAGAGACTTCGCGCTGAAGAAGCTCCGTTAATCCGGTTAGAGTTTGCAATAGGATATACTGCAGAAAAACAAAATTGATACACGACTTAATTCGAAATAATGTATATTTTCAATAGAGTATGTCTTTATGTAAGAGTGTATTACGAAGTATGAATGATATAATTTTCATATCTTTACTTTCCATAGTGACCATTTTGTATTGTATATTTTAATATTTTCATTTCCTAATTTGCATGCAACTTATATCCTTGTGTTAGAAAATTATTACCGATTTAATATCAAGTTTGGAAGATGTATGAATTTATTTGAAAAGATACACTTATTATTTACGACATTTTTGTACCGTATTCTTAACACAAACATTTCGTTTTAATTCACGTCATATGCGATATGTACCAATATATTCCTCGAAACAACATAAAACTGCTCATTTATGCAATGTATGACAGATGGAACAGTTTAACATTATATTTTCTTAATTTCATAGTAAATTGAAACTTATTTTTTAGTATTATTCCTTTGATCTGCACTTTTCTGTGAATGTGTTCAATGTCGGTAATATTTATGTCATATAATTTCTCATTAATAAAATGCCGATAATAACTTAATTTTAATAAACAACAACGATTAAGTTACTGATATCGTTGTTAAAATAAAAAATCCTACCAATTTCAAAAATACATAGGGGTTTTACATTTGCATAAATAACGATGTATTTGTTGACGCAATGAAATTTTAATTTTTGTAATTAAAGAAACAATCCAGTTTCATTAAAGTATGCATGTAAATAAAAAGAGTGCATAGGTAATTACCTTCTTTGGTTTGGTTTAGTTTAGTTTTAGTATTAAGTTTATTATGTTAAATTTTGACTTTATAAAATCTATTTTCCATGAAAAGATCAATCGCTCTAAGAACAGAAATGTTTGAAAAAATTTCCCCTTCTATTTACTATTATATAACTTTTTAATCGCGGCACGATTTATTTAATAAAATTAATTGTTGATTCAAAGAACCAAGCCATGAATTACGAACTATTAAACATATATACGAGTGATCTACATTTTTTTTCTACAAGAAAATTGTAGAAATTGACTAGAAAATGTAGTATAACAGAGAAAACCATGCGCTTTAATTGAAGCGGTACGTAATAGGTTAAAATGTATTACCAAATGTTTCGCATAACAATCGGACATCAATTTACATTGGAAATAATTTAAAGAAAAAAATATGAGAAAAATTTGATATAATAAATTTTATACTTAATTACTGTCTGTATATACACCGATTTCTTCCAAAATGAGAAAACGTTAATGAAAAAAGAAACACAATCCTTTATGATCATCTTATGTATCAATAAAATTAATACATTTGCTACTTAATATATTTGTGTATATATGTGTGTGTGTGTGTGTGTATGTATGTATGTATATATATGTACATAGTTTATCCCGAAAAAATAAAGGAATCACTACCACTCGTTAAATACTTGTCATTATGTAGCTGTAAATCGTTTTCGGTGAACCGAGTTTTGTACAACTGAGCACTAACCGAGGATTATTATACTTGAAGCAACATCCTCGTCCGTTATACTTTCATTTGCACAACGGTGATGTTATGGCTGTGCCTTTATTTGTGAACATCCTGTGTAATGTACTACAACTAATAATTAGTAGCACACGAGTATATCTGGAGATAATAAAAAGATATCACGTAGCTAAACCTTTCAAGCAGTTGGCTAACTTTTGTGTCTTGTAATCGGTTCTTAATTGTATAAAGTTTATCAGAACATTACGGTCCAATGTTGCCTGTAATAATAAAAAAATCATTTAAAGAAAAATCCATTTGGTCACACCGAAATAAAAATATTTCTAGCGTATAACATACCAATTGGTCGCCTGTGCAAACTTGTTTCAAGTTTTCTGGTTTTACCAATAACAAGTTGCATAAAGCATGTAAGGTATCGAATAAGAATGTAACAACATCGACTTCAAGCTCCTTGACACATTTACGGTACTCGTTCATGTCGCATATTGCACACATTGCACCAGCAGAATTAAACTGAAATTGTTGCAGATGATCATAAATAACTTTATGAAATCTGACCCCGAGCTCAGTCAGTACATTATTTAAATTCTTTCCATCTAAAGTATTTCGAATATGTCGAATCATTGCGGTCACGTATTGCACTACTGTTAAGCAGGCCGGAGTACTCAAAGTATCCACATCAGTTTCAGGCTTAAAGTCAGTCTTACGTTGCTCATTTTGCAAGTACACTTTTACCCAGCCAACGATAGCGTTTATACTTCTATCTAAACCTGTTTCTAATTTCATGTCAATTTGATCCAATGCATTTTTCTTCTTTAACAGACAATCTCCATGCTTTGGCGTCGATCTGTAGAAAAACAAAGAAAGAAAGAAAAACGATTATACGGTTAGTACATGTGTTTCTCCCGAGTATCGTTATAAAGTAGTGAGAAAAATATATTTACATAACAAGAGGTAGGAGGCTGCCAACAAACTGTTCTTCTAAAAGACGCACGATTGCGTTACATTGACGCACAACATTGAAGAAGTGTATCTCAGGTTGAGTTCTACCTTCAGGAATCGGTACACTTTGCAAACCTAATTCTAACGCGTAATCAACGTGTTCGTTTATTAAATACTGCAATAAAATCTCAAAGATTTGAAGTGCATTTGCCGGTATCTCGTCGGGCTTTGATAACAATTGGCATCTTTGAAATGCCATTTTACTTCTCTGTAATAAAGCGATTGCAAGCTCTTCCGACAAGAATGTTAGATATTTATATTAGTTCGTGCACCTAGTACCGCTTGCAAGTCTCTCCTTAATTCTTGAAAACCGCCTATTTGCAGCTGTTTTTTCTGGTGATTCTTCGATTCGTAGTACTCGATGAGAAGAGCTGCTGATCTCTCCCTTAATGCTTTCGTTTCTATGCTACAATAATTGTACAAATTAGTTCAATAGATACATATATCATATTGAATTAACCATTAATTAGTTGTAAACTTACGTAATGTATGTATCCAAATATTTTTGAAATATATTTCTAGTAAGTTTCGCTAGGTAAGTATCGTCGGTACCCATGTTAAACATTTTCAGTTCCGTGGATAATTTTACGGTCCTCGTGTACAAATCATACAAGTTACTCAGATATTTCTCAGGATCAGTTTTGTCGGCTAATTTAGCGACTGCGTATTTTTGAAGTCTCAAATGATAGATATTCAGTAAAAACTTTGCCATCACTTGTTCGGGATTCGTGAATACCTGTTGCATCAATTTATGGTACTTTGTACACATTGGTATCACATCTTGGAAAACATCTTTGCCCCCAAACGAACCCATTTGACTTTGCTCGATAAATGCATCGATGCATTGGGAATATCCTTTAAAATGGGCTAATACCGAGGCTAGTTCTTTCATACGATTGGCATCTTCTCTATTGTGTGCCCTGACAAACTCTTCTATCAGATTTCTTTCAATTTCATCGTACTTGATGGCAATCTTTTTTTTAGCGTGTTCAAATTTCTCGGATGGTAACTCTTGCGAAATAAGGTGGAGCTTTTGTATTACATCCGCTGCTTCGTCCGGCTGTAATCGAATAAACAGGTTTAATTAATAGAATGTATTATTGCAATTGCACAAATATCGAACACATTGAACGGATATCATTACCGATGACTTGTCTGTAAAGATTGGATCAGTCAAAGGCCCGGGGCTTAAGAAATCCGAAAAATGTCTCATAAGCTTCTGAGCCTCGACGGCTCTGGCTCGAGGTGTGTTAACGCTTTCCAACTGGTCTCCTAAATGCAAGACCTTAGTTGCCACGAGGTTTATTCTCTCGTCTAATTGGTGAAACAAATCGATAGAATGTTTATTTCTTTCTTGTAACTCGAGTATTTCAAGCATATGTCTTGCTTCCTCGTCCTTCAATGCCACTTCAAGTTTATCACATTTTTTCTGCTGACGTTCCTGCAAGACTTGTAGATCTTTGATTGCTTGCAAAAATGTCTCGTGCACTATCATGGGATTGAAAAACGTTTTTCCACCATCTTTTGTAATGTCATTAACGGTTCTCCAAGCAAGTCTTTCAACAAACTCCTCGGAATCGAAAGGATCCTAAATGAAAAGAACATTAATAAATCAGGATAATCTTTCGATGATTCATTTGTTAATGGACCTAATCTATTGTACATAGATTTATAGCTCTACAATCTTTTTTATGTATATCATTTTTCGTGACACAAAAAAATCAAATTCAGAATAAAGAAAAATCATGATGGCTGTCACTTTTATTGTTTAAATGATTTAACAGTAATTTACCTGCTCCAACTCCTTCATATATTGTTGCATCATTTTGACGAAATTTGGTTAACAGTTGTTAGGTTAAAATGAATATAATTATAAATGGTTTCACTGTAAAATAAATAATGTTATATAGGAGTGATTGTTATTGTTCGAATGATTTAACAGCAATTTACTTGCTTCACCACGCTTCATACGTATGTATACCGTCGTTCCATCAGTTTTAATGACATTTTCGTGACAGTTGCGAGGTTACAATAAATACAGCTATAATGTCACTGTAAAACAAATGTACATACACTGAGAGGATCAATAAAATATTATGCGAAAATAAGTATATTTCTATGAAAACTGGTTGTTAATCATATATCAATAACTGTATATCTTATATAAAAATCAGATGATCGTATGTACGACCGTTTGACAGATCGCGTGTTATTTGTATACATATATATCTAACTTTACCACATCATATCAAATGAGAACGTGTTTGTACGAAATATTTATAAAAATATCAATAAATAGTTATTCTATGTTACATATTATATACATTATGTAGATAACAATACTATCACGAACAACTGACGCTATATACACACATATGTACGTATGTATGATATATATATATTGCGGATATTTACGCAAAATTTACAGTTTCAAACACTAATTAATAGAAATGAAAATTGGTGTTTTATTTACTATAATAGGGGTTTCATTAAGTTATTAATAATTTACATATATATACGCATACTATTCAATTTAATTAAAGTTTTTATTTTACTGGGATTTGCAGGTTAGAAGATACTATATTGTAGAATAAATATATTTATATACATACATATGCATGCATATAAACTTCCGCAGTCTATTTATAACGTACACATGGTTTTATTTTTGTAATCATACATCTAAGTGTTACATACGACCTCGTTACGAAGAATTCTATACATTCCTATTCTTTAATCGATACAATAAACTAATATATTATATTGCGGTAGAAACATGTAGTTATTCCGAAATATACTTATTCCATCATAAAAACTTTTTTTGTTTTAATAACAATACAAAAGCGAGATTAATTGTAATATCGGTCTTTCGTACAAAATATGTCTTTTCTTCCTTTTCAATAAAAATTAGAATTAATACATGGTGTACAAAATCGGTTTTGGTATTACCATTGTGTCTTATAAAGTCGCACTGAAGCAATCTAATCTATCAATCTTGAATTAATTCGACTATAAGAAAGTAAAAACATTCGAATAACAAGTGTGCAATCTGAAATAACATTAACCGGTTGATCTCGAACAGCGAGTGGAACCGATTACAAAAGAGAAGCGGTGTTTCAGCTGTATTTTTAATCATAGAAATTCTTTCTTATGAAACAAATAGCTTTACGAATATGCACTTACTCTGTAGAAACGAGACAACGGATATTGAATATTCATCAAGCGCTCGAACACTTTTTAAACGACACGTTATTTATAATAGGCAAACGATGTTGTGAGCATCGCAAGTAGCAGCACATGTTTAATAAAAACTTATGTAACTCGTATAGGAGCTACTAGTTGGAACATGTGTAACTTTTTTATTACCATTGTACACACAGGTATGCCATTTGCGATTTTGTATATTAGTGTTCAAATATTTATTAATATAATGTTATTAAATTACACTAATGAGCACTGAAAAAAAGAGGGAGGCAGCAATGACGTCGTGTTTCAGTACAATATTAATCTAATTCTTGTTTACCTCGAGAAAAACGTTTGGAATAAAATATGGAAAAATGTTCGGGTAGTACAAAGGGGCAAAAACGACTCCCTTTTTCTAAGAGACAAAAAAACATTCAATAATACATGTTATAATTATACTAAAAAATAAGAGTGCTTATCTTGTAACCACGATACACAATATTATTTAATTTACTTTTATAAACTCGAATCGCCGTTAAACATATCATTGCGTGAGATCAATGACCTTCAATGCTAATTTGACGAATTCCCCTATGATTGATTTTCTTTTCTTTCTTCCTTTTTTTTTCACTAGGTATTGTTAGCGTGAGAAATGATTAATCATATTCTCCTTTCATTGAAAATGAAACGACAGAACAAAAGTTATTTTTTATTCAACTCTGTAGCAGAGTTAGTGGTCCATATTTCATAATGCTTCACACCTCCTTTTGTTTTATTAATATAAACTGAAACTCCCCATTATCTTTTGCATTTCTTCTGGTAATGTTCTTTCTTTAAGCAGTTACAAAACTGCTACCATAAGATGTCCTTCTGTAAGTAAAAAATTTTCCAATCAATATCATAGTAGACATTCTTCATTCTGTTTTCTTCGATTGCTACGTTCATTGCCATATGAATTTTTTATTACATTCAGTGTATCATAATGGTAGAAAATTTGATATAAAATTACCGAATCGAGTCGTGTTCCTATACTTCGTCTACTCATTTGGCTTATGGTTACATATTTATGGTGTCTGATTGATAGTACCGAAAGGTAATAAATATTCATTGATGATGGCCATAGTGCCTCTAGCAATTCCAATGACATTCAACGTGTTAACAATCTTTCGTAGGAAATAATAAACTTTACTCACTTTGGTTAAACAGATGTAAAATTACATTTCTCAGCAACACCCAGATTTAGTGGACTCGATTGGACGTCCGTGTTCTATTTTCACCTTGTTTGCTGGATCACTGTTACCACTGGATGGAGGACCCACTCTGAGTTTTATTTCCGCAGCCATTGTCATGAAAGCTTGTTCTACGTTCATTGCATTTTTCGCGGATGTTTCCAAGAATGGAATACCAAGTTGATCTGCATATTCCTATTGAGACAATGATCACGACACAAATTCATTGAAATAATTTTAATAATAAACCCTCCATAATCCAATTTAATTTTTATTCTTCAAAAAACTTTTGTTTACTACCAACTAATTGAACAGATAGAACTTAAATTTTCAATTATAAAGGTTTTATTTATTCTTTCTTTGTGTTTTTTTTGTTTTCAAAATAGATTTTCATTTTTAAGGACACACTGGACAATAGTATGACCTTAATTTTTTAACTTGCAAATGAACAACAATATTGTAATTCTCGAGTTAAAAATACTTTCTCATTTGCAGAATAATGGTAGAACTGGTATGTAACATTAAAAACGTTACACCTAGCAATAGAGGGTTAAGATTCTCTATTTGATTTTCTCACCTTTGCTGTTGTGTAATCAATTACTTTCTTAATATGAAGATCGCATTTATTGCCGACCAGCAGCTTATTAACATTGTCACATGCATAACGGTCAATTTCTTCCAACCACTGTTTAACATTGTTGAATGATTCTTGATCTGTGCAGTCATAGACAACAATGATACCATGCGCACCTCTGTAATAAGAGCTTGTAATTGTTCTGAACCGTTCTTGACCAGCTGTATCCCAAATTTGCAATTTTATTGTCTTGCCATCTAGGTCAATTGTTCTTATCTTGAAGTCTACTCCAATGGTACTGATATAACTTTCTGTGTATGTATCATCGGCAAAACGAAGCAACAGACATGATTTCCCAACGCCGGAGTCTCCAATTAAAAGTAGTTTAAACAAATAATCACTGTAAAATAACATTATTTTGTATATAATCGTACAAAGAATATTTTTTTATATTATAGAATTAATAGACGTGAATGTGAGCACTAGTTCTTATTCTTTAAACGTGTGAAGCAATTTAGTAATAAAAGAAGCAATACAATTATACGGATAGCTTAACAATTTAGTAGAAATATGCTTATCTTATGAAATACAAATTAAATGTGTATAACAAGTTAACAATGTATTATGTTTATAATTACTGTAACAAGCATAACACATTGTTCACAACGTAAAAAACATAATTACACATAAGAGTTACTATGTATATAATAACGTAACATATCACCTAAATACATATAGTATAGACAAACATTTTAATGGAACAACACAAAGATAACAGAATCTATCTGAACAAATGAATTTTCCTTTACCCATGCTACAACTCTCTAAAGATCAAAACGCCAAAACTGATTTTTATAAACATTTCCTATAATTCTCCAAACTATAGAAATATTGTACATTTGATTCTCATTAAGAAACAGTTCGTCAATTCTATTTAAAACGAATGAACTTTGCCTCATCCTTATTACAACTGTCTAAAGATCGTACTCCGAAACTATAATTACGCGTGATATCTCTGCTAATCATCCAAACTGTACAAGAATTTCGTATACTTGATTTTCACCCGTGGATCAAAAAATCGTGAAATGTGTTTTGATCAGTGCAGAATGGAGAAAGCACAACAGAGCATAATTTTCTGAAATATGGCCAGCAAGCATAGAAAGAGGAGAGGGGTAAAGGGAGGGGGAAAGATGAATCTGTCAGACGGCGGACGTTAAAGAGAATTTCCTTGTATCAAATGTAACAAAGCAGTACACGAATGAACTAGATTCAACCTGTTCGAGTGTGAATCATCGCTAAAGCTGGGACCAAAACGATTTTTTACGTTTTATGAACTGAACGTTCTTCGATGTACACTTGTGTCTGCGCAAAAAGAAGTCTTTACTCACTACTCGGGATTCATTGTGGACATGCTCAAGCTCAGAACACGTTCACCGATAATGTGTACCGCCGTTGAGAAGATCTACGTCGGAAACACGAAATCCGTTCGAATCGGTAACGTGACGGCACGGTATTCACGGATCACGTACTGCGACACGAAAGAGCTGTAACAATGGCGGTCACGGTAACTCCCTCCCAGAGCAACGAATCAGACGTCCACCATTGACGTAATGCCAGAATCGCCAGAATGGCAGCAGGTGCTGTTTCACTCTGTTTCACTCCCTCTACTCTACTTGGTTCACTTGGACGGTGTATCAGCGATTCGGTACGTGCAACACGTCTTGCGCATTTCTCGTATAGATGAGGTTTACACGGAATTCATGGTGTGTACAATCGGAGGACAGTTGACATAAGTACATCATTCGATAGCAATTATTGTCAATATTATTCACTATTTACCTACTTATTTATTGCTAGTTCCGTTTTTTAAAAAATATTTTTAGTTTTTCAATAAAATGAGCGCCTTAACATAGTGGCGTCATCTAGAGAAAATAACATGGTACTAATTGGCTGACAACTTGGACGTTTCTCCATAGATGGCACCTCGGTCTTTTTACGATATTTTTCTATACACAGGGTGTCTTGAAAAACAATGGTCTTCTTAAGAGAACTGGTAGAGATGGTGAAATAAAATGAACAATTTCCCGTTAGTATGGTGCAGGAACTGTAACAACTGTAACAAGTGAAGTGTATTATGTTTTCAAGTACATGTACATGTCATGATCACGTTATAACAATTCTTATAATGTTATAACGTTTATCCGATTAAATATGCGTTTTTGATACTGTATGAACGGACCATGCGCAAGAGACCCCGTGTGTGTGTTAGAGATGGCGTGCAAAATCGCTAACGGTGATTTATCACAGTGATCGCCGAATCACGATCACGGTCGTGATTTAACTTCATTCACAACCGTGATTGCGATTTTTCTATCTTGGGTGAATTTGCTCACTGCGATCGTAAGTCCTTGATCTTTAAACAGAAAAACGTATTCAATATGATTTTACGATGAATTACATTACTATTCGTGTTTGTAAACATCAGTAGAAAAAACAAGAAATTCTAAAAAAATGATTTGCTAGGTAACATGTAGATTATAATTTGTAATCATTAATTTATTCATTATTCTTCATTGTTTCTACTTATTCCTTCACTTTATACGATATAACCCTAATTTTTGTTTTGATGTCGTTAATGTGAAATATACAAATTATATATCGCGTGTAAAGAACTGTTAGGTTTCTCCACCAATAAGAAACGATCACGGGAAATCACGAATCACTGTGAAAAATCATCGTGATTGGGAACGAACGTGATCGAATCACGAGTGATTCACAAGTAGCAGTTCACGCCATCTCTAGTGTGTATGTGATGTGGGGTTATAGAACCCCCTGCGCAAGAGACTCTGTGTGTGTGATGCGGGGCAATAGAACCCCCAGAACATGCGCAAAAGATCCCGTTTATGTACGAGATGTATATATGTATGCACATATTTATTTGTCATGTATATAGTATATAGTTTATACTATATATTTAAATAAATATATTAAGTATAGTATTGTATTTTATTCTCTCTCAACGCAGAAACAACTTTTGTGTTGGGTATGTTGGGTATCATTGTTTAGGAAAATATAATTCGATATAAGTAGGTATCGATACCTTGGTGGTATCGATTCAACCGTAGGTGGAACGACGTTATTACAATGAAGTACAATAAGGGTGGATAATGTGGGATAATGTGTGTACGTGTGTGTATGTAGTAAATAGATCGCAAGCTTCGATTATTTTTAATTAAATCAATGTATATTATTGTTCATAACGCAATGGAAAGAGAAGTCAGTGTATTGCTATCGTTTTTTTAATAGTACTAAAGTATCCGTCTAGTTACGTATAAGTAAATGTGTTTGCGAAAACAAGATCGTTAATGTTACACGCAGTCACACGCAGCCTTGCGTCCTCAGGTGAGAGTATGTAAATAAGTTGGTATATTTACGTTGTCAGCTGTCAATTTTGACAGTAGCGTCAAATGTGAAATTTGTTGCAATGAAATTCTTTTTGCCGATTACTGTATATTATCACGTGTATTTATTCATGTATCTGGATTGTATAACTACATGGATATTTACGTACATATCTACTCACTAATCGTACTATTCATTGCATAGTGTTTGTAATGCTTATGAGTACATATATATATTAATTTGAATATAATATAATATAAATATAAAATATATAGAATATATATATTCTATGTATTTGTAATTGTTTTATCGTAACTGTAAGTAAAAACTTACATTTTTATTTTCTTTATGCTGTTTACATACATATTTAAGTTTAAAATGTTAGTATTATATTCTCACATATTGTGAACTGTGAGTATAATTCATTCTTGTAATGGAGTATTATGTTAAATATACTTTTTATATTTTTTTCAGTGAAAGTTATTCAACTTTCTGCTAGTGGTAGAAGTGTGAACAATTTTCATTAATGTCCTCCATGTTTCTCAAAGATGGATCTTCACATGAATTGTTCTTTCAAAGTGTAAACGGATGTAAATTGAAGCTGGTTGATAAAAGTACAAGAACTGAAAATGTTATGAAATTCACCTTATACAAAGACACGCATCTGAATGTCAATGTTACTCTTCTTTTATTATTAACAACATTCTTTCTGTGGAAAGTATTTAACATTTTAATACCATTTGCCTGTTTTATATTAATTTTAATACTGCAGTGCATTTGCTTCATTACTTCTGTAAGAAAAGGTTTGTCTAGCAATTTTATATCTTATAAGTGTGTTTGAATTATATTGACTTCTTCTTTTATTTGTAGATACACTAACATTGGTAGAATCTGTCGGTATATATACAGAAGGAAAAAGAATATTTTGTGGTCTAAGCTCGTGCAAATTTGTACCTTGGGAGACAGTGGTAGATATAGTCATCAATGAAGTTATAACAGGAGTAAGTACTATACTTAAATATTCCAATATGGATTGATTAGAATCATTTCTACAGGTAGTATTACAACAAACTATGTATTGTATAACAGTATTTCATATATATTTACAGCAAAGGGTTATATATTATCTTACAATTATAGTGAAAGAATCAGTAGGTGGAAAAGATTCAATAAAATTAATCCCTTTGTTCCAAGAGTTAATACCCGAGAGAAAATGCCTGGAATATATGTACGAGAGACTAGCTGGTTTGATTGGGTGCACCATAGGGAAAATTCAGTTTTAATAGTGCCTGGTTCATACTGGTTGTGTCATAAAAAGAACATATATAAGTTTATCTTTCGATATCATCGCACGACTAGGTAGACATCACAGATAGATCTAACCACAATACATTATTACCAAGATGTAAATCTTCCATTCTGTATATTTGTAGGAATGTACAGCAGTTTACTTTCGCAAGGGAATTATTGAAAGTAATTCGAAGGATTATAAAAAATCCACCGCGCCATGGACAACAATTTAGTACAAACAATCTTTTAGTTACCTACCGTATCCTTTTTTTTCTCGATTCAAAATAAATTTTCTGTACTATAATATGTATAAGAATTATCTATTATGTAGAAAGTGTGTAATCATTATTAGAACTTTCTTAACTATAACGAACACTGGTCATAGATCATACATTCTGGACTCGACAGGATAAAATATTCGCAATGACAAAGTTCAAACAGAGATCCGTTGCCGCATTTTCTTACGCGTTTATTCTTACCATAAAAGTAATCTCACTTTTAGAAAGCTTAGAACAAAATACCAGATGTGCTGTAACATCTTGTTCCGATCAACCTTTAATTTTGAATAATACGAATTCAACGCAGTCTTCTGCCAACGATCTTCCAGAGCAGAGCAACCATCGCAATAATATGCCGGAGGGAGTACTAGATTTAAAAATTAAGGATATTACTACTCAATTAGACCATCGCTTGACAACGATATCAACGGAAGGATCCGTAAATATCGCGAGTAGAGAAAAATTCAAAATAGAAAATGATTGCACTCCAAGTGGTAGACACTCAACTACATTCCCTTTTGAAGACGACAGAATGGTTTCCAGTGAATCAAAAGATTTAAATTGCGAAAATGATGATAACGAATCACTGATGATAGATGAATGCACCGTTGAAAACGATGTGAATAAACAGAATGGCGATTCTGTATCAACCAACACACGATCGGAAGATTACCGTATCAATATTTAATAGAAAGAGAGATCGAGGATGCAAAACGTAATACATTAAATTCCATTGCTTCGTGCAACGATACTAAGAAACGTAGAAAAGATGAAATGAGTGAAAAATACCCCTCGTCCCCTCTGGTGGAACTACTTACAGATTTTGATCAAACTGACGAAGTATGTTCCGGTAAAAAGAGAAAGCGAGCATCAAATAAAATGACGTCACGATCTTCCGATATTACAGATTTAGTAATGGAAGGATTAATGTTTACAATTCGACAAGGGGAAAATACTGTAGCAGTTATAGAGCAGAAAACGAAACTGGAGGTGGATGAAGTATTAGAAAATTCGGAGAAAATTGAGACCAAAAAGGGAGAAAAATGTTTACGAAATTCTAGTTTGCTCGGATTGGAGAACTTAATAACAATGATTGAATCATCAAGAAATACTAATGTCGAACAAAAGTATCAAAATACAATTACACAAGAGAATCATACGTCCAAAGGCACTCATTTTCCTAATGCAAGTTTAAATAAAGATTCTAATACTGCCAACAAGAATCAGTACATTCAAGCATATGAGAAAAATGTAAAATTTGCAGAGGATGAAGATTCACAATATGAAGAGGACGAGGATGAGGTTGAGGAAGAAATAGAGGAAGAGGAAGAGGCAGAGGAAGAGGAAGACATAATACCAGAAGCATTACAAGATCAACTCTTTCAGCCGCCAGTACATTCTTTTGAAAAAGTTAATAAGTCTGAAGACGCAATGATAAATAAAGACCTATTAATGGATGATACAGATACTGATGTGTCAATCAGGTTTGGAGTAACAACTGAACGTAATCTTGTCTTTAATAAGACACACGAATCACAATATAAATCTATGCCTAATAATAATACTAATAAATCTAAGTCCAATGTACCGACCATAATTTCAAATCAAATTATTACTACAGATCAAATACCTCTTCAGTTACAAAAAATACTTAAAAATAGATTATCAACAAGATATACTTTAACCAACGAACGTGAACGAAATGAAAATAATATGGTTGACCATAAAATGCAAACATCCGAACAAAAAGATATTAGTTTTCATGTACAGTTGAAAAATCAGAGATTAAATTGTAATACACTGGAAAGTACACAATCTTTGGAGAACCGTCAGATTTCTCTGGCCAGTAATAGCGAAACTCGTGAAAGTGTATCATCGGTGGTATCAGCGGTAGAACAAAAAGATCTAAATATTTCAGAAAACAGATTGAGAGAAAATGAAGAAGAATTACAGAAGCAGTCTGTTAGTACCGATCGAATAGAAGTGTTATCTTCATCTATAGTGCAAGATGTTACACAGGAATTTTATCAGGATCTAACGTACTTACAGAAGAAAAAAGACTTGACTAATCAGTATCTGAATCTAAGATCAAGAAGCAAACTGACAAATACACTACGAGATACACATACCAGTGAGGCGCGCGTGGAAATGATCAAATTCTTTCATGATATTACAAGAGGTGCCAAGGTTGTTGTAAAACGCATGAGTACAAAAAGCATTCATAGTATAATTAAAAAAAGTTCCTCGTTAGCAACAAGCATGCACTGAAAATGAATTCTTGAACATGGTTTCAGAATAGTCTGCAAAAATGTCGCATAATTTATTCAAAACATAGTTCATACTTAAGGAATGAACATATGCTTAAGATATTTTGTACGTGTAGTTCATTCGTTGAACATGAACGATGAATAAATGTATAACAATACTTTGGTTATTTTATTTTTTATAAGACACTGATTCAACTTTTTAATAATATATTAGTCTTGCATGTTTTTTCCCGTTCAATTTGTTCCATGACAGTTTTCAGATTACCTAATTTGTCTATCATTTCTTGCAATTTATGGTCCAAGAAGTCAAGGCATACTTTCTTCTTCCAGAAGTCATTATCAAAATGTATGCTCTGCCCCAAAACATTATTCGTTATATTTGATTTTTGTGTCACGTTCATCATCTGCAAAAATAAATGTTCAAGCGTAGATAATATGTAGTTAAGGTATTCAATAAGATAGTTTATTAATCCTTTTAATAACTGAAATAATACACCTTAAGTATCATGACTATTTAGACTAAATATATATATTGTTTATCCAAAAATATGAAAAGTATTAAAGACTTGCACATAAATATAACCAGATACTAAAAGTGTTAAATAATGAAGTGTTATTAATTCAGTAAAGATCATTATTACTTGTATTTCATTTCTGAGTTGGATACACGTTCTTAGTTCATCAGCGCATCGCAGTGGATACCGCTCTCGAGCATCACACAATTCAAACAAAGCGTCTTCGCATTGTTGTTCAAGATCGTCTGAAAGAAGAATTTTAAATGAATTTATGCAACTATTTAGGTATCCCGCAATTATTTCTCTTTTACTCACTTACCCATTTTAAACATATATTTACAATATATAGGTATGTAAATAGTTTTAATATTGTACTTCAGAATCAGTTTCGGTTAATTTAGGTTAATTTAAAACTGAAATGATCTGTTCTTACGTCATGCGTGTGTGGCGATTGTAGAGACATCTTTCGAATTGGCCTGTAAAAAAATACAAAAGTCAACCGCTTGATTTTAATTTTTTAATAATCTTTCAGTACTTAAATTTTGTATTTAAATATTATCGCGATTCATAATGTAATATAAAGAAATAGTTTTATACCTCAATATTATTGACCGATTAAAGTCACTTTAATAAATCTGTTGACCACTTTAATGACTTTGCTAGATAGAATAAAAAGGAAAGACAAACAATGACAAGAAAAAAACGGAAGATTATGTTACAATTCAAAGCAGCACAATCACTCTTTGTTGAAATGTAAATTAATAAATTATTTTATGATAAAATGAAAAATGAAATATATAATAACAGAAATAGGGTTTTTGATTTAATCAAATCAACATATTATGGTCATTATGCATTTATAATAATAATAATATATATAAATACATAGGAATAATAGATGAGATGTAATATCGTTATTACAATGTCATCTAATAATGAAAAATACATGACTCTACTCATTATTCATTCTTTATACTACTCTAAAACATTTTCTACTTAAAAAAATAACTTAAATATTCATTAATCATGTATTTTTCATTATTAGATGACATTGTAATAACGATATTACATCTCATCTATTATTCCTGTTTAACTCTATACTGTTTATCAGATTTATTTAATGTAAAATTAAGACTTAATAATGTTTAATAATGTTTACTAACAATTACATTTTATTTACAACCTAATAGAATCTTTAATAGAGTAAACAATAATATATTTGCGTAAACATTCGCCGTCTAATAATGATAAATAATAAAAAAAATGTTTTCTATATATAACAGCAGTCGTTAACATAATGAATGTATTCATTGTATCATTTTAAAATTTTTAACATATTATGTGTAATTGTGTTGAGAAGCATTATCAACGTTACTTGTCGATGAATATTTAAATTGTGTAGTCACCGATGAAATTGATTGTCATTTACGAAAAACGAAGAAGCCAATCATAAAATGTTTGATGAGTTGGAGATAAAAGACAATTAAGTAGCGAACGGAAGCCGATAATATCCACATCTTCCGTCTGCGTGGCAGGTATTTGGGCCTACTTTTGCTGACATTGGCAAAGATGTGCATTATACCGCATACGATTCACCGCCATTAAAGTCGTGAATGCCGTTATCTGCACCGGCAAGAAACAGTTACGTAAAAGTAGTTTTTCTTTTTCCGTGATACTGACTGCAGCGAGATGAAGAGGTTCTAGCGGAGCTCTTAGTCTTCTTGGCAGTTACTTAGAGAATAACATATAAATAAACACGAGAATAGATACATACTGGGAATACATGAAATCATGGGATATTTAAAGTCCATCGGTACTATAATCATATACATCGGTCTCTTCGCTGCTGTTATTACTTTTATACCAGGTTTACCTCCAGAAGCAGAATTTTCTGAATACAGGTATGATACTTATTTTTCATTTCGTAACAATAAGTATAACAGAAAAGTATACAAAGTTCGTACGCTTTTTATAATAAATATAATAAATGTTTCAGTATAAAATATCCTTCTGAAACACGGAGTCAGTTTGAGCTTAAAAATCGTCTGAATGGAGCAGAGGTGTTATTTGCTGGAGAACTCAAAGGACCAGAAAGTTTTGCTTCGTACAATGGAGAATTGTATACTGGTATACGTGGAGGTTATGTCGTTAAAATCAATGGCAACAGTATTGTACCAATCGTGAAATTCGGACAAAAATGTGGTATGTATTTAGAAGTAATTTTCAAGAAACAATTTTAACTTTTTGGCTTTAATTTTTAGAATGCAATCAGTATTATTTAGATCCTATGCATAAGTAAGATGCTTGTATAAATATTTCTTTTTTAAAAACGATTTCCTATTTTCTACATATAATTAATAATTTATTTTCTATTTATATAAGAATATACAAGTATACATTTTATATAATGTTTGGCACGTAAAACTAATGGTCGAGGAACTTTTTCAATTGCACAGTATTTTCTATTTGCCCATAAAAATGAGTTGTAGATTGAAAAATATATTTGCAGATGGTTTATGGCAAGAAGAGAAATGTGGCAGGCCCTTGGGTTTACAGTTCAATGACAAAGGAGAGTTGTTTGTCGCTGATGCCTATTATGGTATTTTCAAAGTCAATGTGAATACTCGACAATACACAAACATAGTTAATAGCTCTGTACCTATTGATGGAAAAGCTCCAAGAATTGTTAATTCTTTGGATATTGCTAAAAATGGAGATATCTATTGGACTGATTCTAGCACAGAATTCTCACTTCACGATGGAGCTTACACATTCTTGGCAAATCCATCAGGAAGGTAAGAATTTAAAGTTTTGTATCCATGTAGCCGATGACACATTCTGCGGGTCATGACAATATCCTTTAAAATGTATATAACTTTATTACACTGTTATAGACTTATTCGGTACAATGCTGCGACAAAGAAGAACGAGGTATTACTAAAGAATTTAGGATTTGCAAACGGAGTTTTATTAGCCGACGATGAAAGTTTTGTGATTGTTCTGGAATGTCTTAAATCGCGAATCATTAAATACCATTTAACGGGTCTTAAAGCCGGACAACATGAAATCTTGGTAGAAGCCTTGCCCGGTTTACCAGATAATGTACACACGGACGGACAAGGTGGTTTTATAGTATCTTTGATTAGCTATGTAGATCCTGATCATCCTTTCCTACTTCAATCTCTGATGCCACATCCATACCTACGGAAGATGATCACCAGATTTTTATATCTGATAGAAACTCCGTTTAAAATAGTACAAGATGTTTATCCAAATTATTATGCGGAAAGAGTTTTACATTCAGTAGGTTCGTTTGACGCTTCCAAAGTTCTTGATTCGATGAAAGCGTCTGCAGTACTTAGAATAGATAAGGCAGGAAATGTTTTGGATGCTTTGTATTCAGATGATGCAAAAGTTGACAATATATGCTCTGCTTACATACTCAATGGATATTTATGGCTTGGTTCTCCTTGGAATGAATACATAATGAGAGTTCCATTGAAACAAGCGTTTCCAAATTTAAAAGAAAGTCAGATATCGGCAAATGTAAAACAGGAAATAGAAGAACCGATTATAACAGTTATGAACAAGCCTGATGTTAAGGTACAAGCAAAGCCTTCAAAATCTAAACGATCAGTACAAGAAACCGTTCCAAAGCCTACAACAACAACAATAACAACAACTACTACTACTACGACACCTAAACCCACAACAACTACAACGCCTAAACCTACAACTACAACACCTAAACCCACAACAACTACAACGCCTAAACCTACAACTGCAACACCTAAACCTACAACGACAACCACACAGAAACCAACTACTAAAGCACCAACAACTCAAACAATATCAAAACCAACCACGGAAAAAGTAGCACCAGCACAACAACGTCCTACCACCACCAGCACTACCACTACCACTACTACTACGAGTACTACTACTACTACTACTACTACTACTACTCCGAAACCGCCTCCATCAACGCAATCTCCTTTAAAAGCATCAGTAAATGAAGCCAAAAAGGAGAACAGAAATGAAATTAAAAAGGAAAATTTAAAAAACACGAAAAAAGAGACTTCTGATAAAAAAAATGTTAATACAAAGACATCGAATACAAAAACTGAGTCAACAGAAAAAAGTGAGGAATCTACAGTAAAATCGAAGTCTGAAGAAACTGTAAAAAAAAATACACGTGAAACCCAGTCTGAAAAATCGAAACCAGCCGGAAAAAAAGATGATTCTGAGAAAAACTAAAAAGTACTTGTACGTCCATCAGACAGTCAGCCCAAGTTTTGCATTAAAACTTTATTCTATTCCATTCTATGTTAAAAGTTCTGCATATTTCAGACATATCGACGTAATTGTTTTAATTTCACATGCTTTTCTAATATTCTCTACATTCTGCTATTGTAAGGATATAGAGCAAAGCTGTACAATTTTTACTTCCGGAAAGTCGCAGGCTACGGGGAGAGGCTTCCCACCATACCGCAAGCGATAGCCTCTTGTTCTTGTCAATTCTTGTGTATTGCGAAGACCCCTTCCCGTAGCATGCGACTTCCATACGCAGGCTGCCTGAGCCGCTTAGTGGGGGTACCCCGGGAGTGATAGACTGATTACGGAAGTAGAAGTCATGCAGCTCTGTTGTTATAGATTTCACGTTTTATTTCTATATCACTAATACTGTTCCGTAAAATAATATTGTAAGATTATCTTATTTTGTTGTAATTCTCTCATATATGCGGTAAAAAAGAGAAAATGCATTAGAGACTGTGATTTAGATTTGTACATACAGTTGAAAATAATGTTGTTTTTGCAAACTTTTCCATATCGCGATACATTATAATATACTAGTATCGTGTTTAGTATACGTATATAAATATATAGGGATATGTATTTTGTAAATTATAATTTTATTTAATTGTAGAGCAAATATGAGGTCCAAATAGAACAAGGGAAAGAATATTTTTGTTATAGCTATTCTTGTTGTTTTGATATAAACTGATTAACATTCCAGAAATTAGAGAGATATTGCGTAATATAATAAGATTAAATACTAAAATGATTGTTCTATATAAATAAGGTAATTTATATTAGATCAAACCTGTTTGTGACGTTTCAACCATTCCCTTATGATTAAAATTGTTTAATGTATCTAGAAAAATAATATGATATCTTCCATTAAATACTTCATTTTCTATTTTTATATACGATCTATTTTTCTATTCGCGGCACGTTAATCATATCTATATAGAAACATGTGTTGTTCGTGCAAGCAAAAGGAACAGTCAAAGTACATAGTTTCGAATTAATGAAAAATTCAATCCGTACTACAGTAATGTCGCGATAAGTGCAACGTACTCGGGTCCGCTTCGGAGCGTTCATGGTAAAGTGGTTTCGGGTTTTCAGCCCCTCATAAATTTGTCTTTTATCCGAAGCCGAGTCTCTGCTTATTTTCTGTGGACCCCTTCCCCCTAGGGTGGGAACAACGCCGTTGCTCGTGTCACATTCATCGAGGAATCGCTGTAGTTAATCATTTTTCTTGGGATAAATGACACACATGCAAATTAATTTTCTGTACAATGATAAGAAACAATGTTCTTAATTTTATATGAAAGTTGGTAAAAGGTTGTATAAATGGTATAATAATAAAATCTTTTTTTTAAATATTGACTTTTAATTTTTATAAACAGTCAAAATCCGTAGAAGCTTTAAAAATATGCATTAAACAATTCTGTATTTTGTTACTAAGTACTAAGCATTTAATTTACATTACAAAAGTATATACTAGCTCTTCATTATAGGTATAGTTAAATTTAAACAACTACTGGGAGTTCCTTCAAATATTAAGTCGCTGTACTATAAACGTTGGCAGTATGTTTTTCATTTTTTTATGCAAATTCTGTTGGATTTTCCACGGAAGTGTAGGACGTTTAGCAAAATGCCAATATCCGTTTCGTTTGCATTCGGCCCATCTTTGTGCTTTCAGTAAACGTTTCTGATAATGTAAGACTTCCGGATCTTTTAACTTTAACGAATCTTTTGTTACTGTGGCAAAACCAAGTTTTACTAATTCCTGCCCAATTTTGATTTGTTCCTATAGAAAAAATAATGTAAACCACCCGATGAAAAATACATGACTTTTTAGTCTTACTAATTACTTTACCTGATTCTCTTGCGATGCAGTAACTATACAGCTTAAGTATTCTTTTGTGGACATCAGAGGTATGAAAGTTATGCTTTTTCCATTAACAATTGTTTGTAACCAGCTGATACCTAAAACCAGACATCAATTAATGAAATATATACGTGTGTATTTATCTAACATTTACCATTAGCTGTAACATTAACACCAGCTATTTTAACAGGTAAGTATTTTGAATTATTCAATCGAGGTAGTGGTATCATTGGCTTGTGGTTGACCATCAGAAGTGCACCATAATTTGGTTCTATGCGCATCACTGTACCTTGTAATGGAAGTTTTTTATGCAAAAAATGAGATGGTATACTTGTTGGGTTTCTAAATTTAGAAAACTAAAGAAACAGTAATAAGGTATGTGACAAGAAGATGATTAAGTTAAATATATTTACTGAAGGATGTAATACTTACAGGCCTAATTCGGTAAAGTGCAACAACTAAACTAATACTGGCAATCCCATAACTGAGAATCTAAAATTGAACATATGTATAAATAGAATTTATATACAATGTAGTACATATTTAATAGTTTCAAACAGTTTCAAAGGAAGGTGTAGGTTAGGACGTACCTTCACCGTTTCGGCATGAGTTTCATTGATAATTATAAATCTTTCTATGATACTTGGTTTCTCCTCTGGCTCCATTATTAATTATTAATATACTAAGTTAACTACTAAAATAAAGAAGCAACGTACTTTTTCACCTGTAATCAGAGTGGATAAAAGTGATCTTACTGAATACATATTTAATATTATTATATATATGTACATATCCAGAGATTCGATCATCAATATTTTTATTTTGTACACGAATTCATAAAGTTATATGAAATGTATGAAAATGAATATAATTACATATTTAGTGTTAGATTATGCACAGGACGAAAATACTATATGTAAAAATATTTTCCTATTTTGAACGCGTATCATTAAATCGCATTTACGATCATTTATAAATATGTATGTACGTAAGTAACATATCAATATATATATATATATATATATATATATATATAACATATTGCATATAAGTAACAATGCAGAGCTATTTACATACACATTTTATTATTTCATTTAAGTTTAATAAGTGATATGAAAATACACTGTCGAGTGAATGACAATATGATAGGTACTTATACGTGCACGTTTCCAAAAATGAATCAGTAAAATGTTATAGGAAATGATAAAATTGTTTAAAGAAACTCGATATTGCAAATATTAGAAATATTGGATTATACGATGATGTTTAAAGATATTTTATTTAAAAAATGATAATTACGTTTCGAATTTTCAGATAAACATTATATAATTTATTTTCTCCTTGAGTTTCGTTTACCCACACTCTCCTCTTCTTCACATACAAAGCATACAAATGTGCGTCAGTGCACGCGCTGACACACCACTGTGACAACAGGACGACACACCGACACGACCAGTAAGCGAACGTGTCCGACCAGTGACAGCAAGAAGTGACAAGAGGATTAAAGGGATACTTTATACTTATATTTATAGAGGTCCTTTAACAGTTAACAAATGCGGACACCACACGCAACGTCATAGCATACGATAACTAATTTATGAGAGAATAATCGGAGGACATCACGTAAACGGTCACGTGAAAATGTTTCGCGATGGTCAATACTTGGAAGTAATAAAGGTATCATCATGATCAACAGCTGTCAACAGCTGTTTACAGGTGATCCTGCAACCTGCACAAGTAAAACAGAAGCTGTATTCGTAGGCTTCGGACAATTGTTTAGCTACGGCTGTTGTTACTGTCCAAGAGAAGACTATAAAGCTTAAAAAGAGAAAAGTCTCGACGAATAAGTGGCTTAATACCGAGGATTGGGCAGCGCTGTACAAAATTTTGGAGAAAGCGATTCTGCGGAACGTTCGTAAGGAAGGATTGTTTCAGGATTCGGAGAAATGCAGAGGCAAAAAGTCAACTCGGCAGCTGGAAATCACGTAAGCTGTATTAACTTTTCTCCTTCTTTCAGTGTGGACAGCATTTATCAGCATCCTAAATCATTACACCGAATTAAATTATACAAAAATCAATTTTGTAGCAAAATTGATGTTTCCGTAATATTGAAATCAAAATTAAAATTAAAATTAAAATTAAAATTAAAATTAAAATGAATTTTCAAGAAACATATGATCCGAGTCGTACCTATAACACGTATCATTATCTCTTCAGTATCTCATACGACGGTATGTAAACAAAATTTTAGATCGAAAAATCCACCTTTCTGAAACTTATGTTCGATTACATGGCAGAATAACGGTTATGTTAACATAAGAAATGAGTAATCAATGGAAGACGCAATTTTATCCAGAATACTAAATAGATGGTTGCTGGAAGGAGAGTAGCAGCTAAAGAGGTGGTGTCTAAATATAATTACTGTTCCAAGACAAAAACTGTAATGATTTGTACAGAAATGAAGTTTTTGGGCTGAAATTTTTTATGCATCATATTTACTAAATACATACGTATACGTGATATTGAGGAGAGAATTTTACAGTACGATAATATGTATTTCGGGTAAAATATGGGACAAATTAAGTCATTATTTAGTTATAATAATTTTAAACTCAACGAGATTGTACTATTATGAGATAAGATTGAAAAGAATATTGAAAACAAAATATTACGTAAAATCGAGTGACGGTTTCTGAAATATTTAAAAAAGAATCGATATCCATCATTACTTTTACAAACGATGGACTAGCAACAATCAGTGGACACCTTGTAGAGACACAAGTTCTGATTATCATTGGCATATTTACACAGATGTTTCTATAAATCATAGATATACGTTCGAGCCATCGGAAGGTGCAAAAAACGTTACATCACTACCTACGATCAGGGTAAATGTATCTCCGGCGAAGAAAAAGCCCGAGAAACTGGAAACACCGAAAGCATCGCTGGTGAAAGAAGATGTTCGCGATCGTACACTCGGGAAAACTCAAAGCTACACTTCCGATTCCACTCAGCGGAGAGATAACAGCGAGAATTTCGAAAAAACAGCGGGAAACGATGATACTTGTACAAAAGCGACGAACGATACTAAAAATGATAGAACTAAAAGGTGTTTACAGTTGGAGAGCTTGGAAAGTAACACGTTAGAAGAATACGTGCCAGATACACCGACGGTTAAAAAACTATGCACAGATTTGAAATATATACCAAGCAGGAAGAGTACGTTGGAACGAATCCAAGTGTCTTCGAATGAATACTCTCCTTTGATATTGGATAATAAAAGCACGACGGAAGTGGTTCGATACATTCCAAATTCCGTTGATTCGTCGAAAGTATCTTACGAAACGTACGTACCTAGCGGGACGACCGTTCTTAACCTTCCTGAAGAATACGTTCCTACCTCGAAGGGAGTTAAAGCTTCCGTTGAAGAATATCAACCTGACTTCACTAGTAAATCTATGAAATTCGATAACAGTTACGTGCCATCGAGCGTGCAATCGATCAATGAAAACAATCCGAACAAATCGGACAGGATGAAAAAGCAACAGGTACAAAAATCTTCGTCACGCCAAAAAGAAGTTTCAAAAAAACACGTGGACCTCTTTACCTAAAACGTACCTATTTTGATAATGAATATTAAATTGGACAGTTAGAATATACATATTATTCGTAATTAATAGAAAATATAAATATCCTTTAATTTTTCCTATAACATGGTGGAACACCATCAGACTGTACAATAAAGTATAATTTGAATAAAAAAAAAAAAAATGTATTTTCAGTAGAAAGTGTCTTTCGTATTGCTGTTTAAAATGATTTCGCCTCTGTACATTTAGTTAATCCTTAACGATCAGTATTTTCAGATTCTGAAACTGGCTCATCGACTAAATTTTTGATCAGCTCAAATTTCGGTTCATCGTGCTTAGCATCGTGCTTATCATCGTGCTTAGCATTTTGCTTATCATTTTGTTTAGCATCGTGGTTGGCATCCTGCTTAGCGTCTTGTTTGCCGTCTTCTTTGACATCATCCTTGACATCTTGCTGCTCACTGTCCATTTGATTAAGTTCTTCGTCGTCTGTATCGTCATCTGCTCCAGGATGAGCAGGAACTTTGTGGGTTGGACTACCGGATGTTCGCATTGTTCCCGGCTTTTGCCACATTTTTTGTGATTCCTTCATACCGCTGACCTTCTCCATGTAATAATCGTAGACGAATTTTGCCATGTGAGGCATGTCTTCGATTTCCATTGGGGGGTTAGACGGAATAGCATCGTTGAGCCTTTCGGTGGGATAATGTTCTTGCGGCAGAAGTTGCAGTTTCAATGGTTTTTGCATCAGTTGATCGAATGCGGGCGTTAATTCGAAACAATTCTTGAAAAGAGCTACTCTTGCGAAAACATAAAGACCAAGACGTGCTCTTGACATTGCTACCACTAAACGACGCGCATCACGCAGGTGACCGACAGCACGAGTTTTTACAAGAGACAGTAAGATGTAATCGTTCTGCTGACCCTGATATTTGTCAACCGTCGTTACTTTATTTGGCCGACCTATTAAGGGATTACTGGCACATCTTATATTTATCACATCTCTTATCAAGTGTTTCTGCCCATTATAAGTGGTCAATATACTAATCTTATCGGCTGGATAACCAAGGAGTCGCATGTACATAAACACAGCGACGCAGTATTCAGCCTCGGCAAGATTTTGATAAAAGTACGCACTGGGCTCGCTTTCGCCGACACCGTTAAAGTCCTCGACGTTGATGAGTTGAAAGTCGTACAAGAATCCAGCATTTGCCACCAAATACTCTGGACTGTTTTCCACGTGGGTGAGATTGCCCAGCTTTTTGTATCGCCAGTTGTAGAGGTTACAAATACTAGGCCTTGCACGACCTTGGCCGTCGAGGTCAACCGTGGGCACACCCAACCTAACAAACCTTGCGAAAAGAGACTGTTCCATGTTGGAATATTTCTGAAAAGCCATGTTTTTTATGACTGGAGGTAACTGATGGTGATCTCCGATCATTATCCAACGTTTCAATCGATTGTATCCATCTTGTGGATTCTGCAGTAACAACGGTATGAAGGTTTCTATTTCTAAGATTTGTGCAGATTCTTCCATGAGAATATTGTCATATTTAAAGCCCATGTCGACTAGCTCGCGTCTCTTTAAAGCAGCATGTGTACAGGTCATAGCAATCACTTTTGCTTCTTTGACCAATAAATATTTCGATCTATCTAAACCAGATCGCAGCAATTCGAAAGCTCTAAATTCCTCTAATTGTGCAAAGATTCTTTCTATATACCTACAAGATCAACACACATATACGTAAATATACATATCTTCAGGGAAAATATGTTTCGTTAAATATCAATACACTGTTGTTATTGAAGAAACTTTACCTGAAACAACTGCGTGCGATTTCTAGATCCTCCGGAAATGTATTACGCTTAAATAACGGTTGCGGTGCATTATCGAAAAATTTATGGAACGGAAACTCTTCGTCGATTATGTGGACAGGGGGTGAACTGTTCCCTGTTCCTTGCCTTTGCTTGATTCTGGATTCAAAGCGTTCCCATCTTGCCAAAATTTGATACATGAAAAAGTGTCCCGCTGTTTCGCAAGTGTATGCTACGTCACCTTTCACATTCAAAGATTCCTAATAATAATATATACTGTATTGATATACAAGTACCAAAAAACAGGGAGAACTACTAAATCATTCCCTTGTAGATCACGAACCTGTAGCCTCTGAACTTCCATTAGGAGATCCAAGCGTTTAGCCAAGACATAGTTGACTCTGCCGTATCTGCTGAAATCTTTTTCCGTTTCTAATGCTTCCTCTCCGTGACCAAGACGGAGCAGATGCCTCTCATCGATATCGAGTGCCATGATCTTTTCAAAAAGTTGATTCAACGCTTGATTGGAATGTGTAACTATAAGCGTTCTCTGATTGGGAAAGTTATGATAAAGATTCGAAATAATCTGCACAGCGACGTCCGTTTTACCAGTACCAGGAGGACCCACGACAAGCGTCAATCCTGGTTGCATACCAGCTCTGATGGCCTCGACTTGCGTTGGTGTGAACGGGATTTGATTTCTATAAGAAAAATAGCATAGAATATCAGAATGGATGCATGTAAGAAACAAGTTTGTTTGTTTGTTTTTTTTTTTTTTTCATTTTTTTAACGGAAAAATTATTTCTTCAAATTCTATACTTTTTAGGTTCGTTAGCCTTGTAAGGGCCCCGGCTAGGCGGTACATGGGGCTCAACTAAGATGGTCCGTTTTATTGGTTCGCTACTCTGTTTAGCAAGGACATCTTGAAACGTTAAACGAAATGGTCTAACCAGCTTCTTTTCATCGTCGGTGGAAAGCTTGATTTCGTAGTTAGGAAAACTGGCTCGCAAATGATCTATATCAAGAAATGTGTCGTTGAAATCCATCGTTGCAATTTCATTTGGCATTCTACAAACGGAAATAAAAAAATGAAAATTAATTTAACACTCGTAAAAGAGTATTGAAGAAATGGTAGATTGTATCGATGATGTACCTGGAGTAACGAGCCGCGCCAGGATCACCGTATCCAAGAATTATATCGTGAAGCCAATCGGGAACAACGCACTCTGTATTCATAAGCTCTCTTATAGTTTCGAGGACTGCCTTAAAGTTATTCTCTTTTGGCTTACGCCTCATTATAATATTAAACCCTTCGTACACATCCTCGCCACCGTGACTAGCGTTGTCCATGTCGATTCGATACTGATTAGAATCCAGCCAGACACGATACGTTCTAGTATCACCGGGTAAAATAGGCCGTGGTTCAGGCCCATCCTCGATCACTCTGCCGTTCGAGTCTAGCATACCTTCAACCTCGCATCCTCTGACGGTGGTCAGACCAACTTGTGGAACAAATGGTAATTTGTGACTATATTTCGTACCTGTAGGTAAAGAAAAAATACTGCAAATAATGCATTACACCTATCAGTGCGTGCTCTGTTTATTATAATTATAGAGAACGAAGCGCTCAACAGGTTTGGGTTAGGACAGAGATTGGATTCATCGAACGAATCAATAGACAGAGACACTCTTGTACTTTTATGTTTCCCTCTTACCAATTGGGTTCTGCGGTTTAACAGTGATCAGAAAACAGACATCGTGCTTCCGAAGGTTCTCCCATTCAGATTTTATTTCTTTCCGGACACTCAGGTTTATCGTGACGTCAGCACGTACCCTTGACGGTCTTTTTTCGCCGATATTCGGCTTCGCTACTTCGACCACAGCGAACTGAGTGATTGGTTGTGCCATTCTGGCCCAGCCTCCAAAATATACACCGCCATCCTCGGCTCGCCTGAACGGAAGAAAATAAAACAAAAGGTAACAGAAGGTAACAGAAGACCTGGCCGAGAGAGGTTCGACTGTGATTAAAAGGAAACTTTTACCAAGGACTTAATCTGCTTACGGCGTCCTCGATGTCCTGCCGTATCTCATCTGAAAGCGATTAATTCCATTAGTTGTCAATTTAATATTATGATTAAACGTTCGAGCTGCGATCGTGCCCGATCTTTATTACGTACAAGTTGACTCCAAGCGGAACAAATTGAAATTCCGCAACAGATAATCGTGTAAAGTGAGGAACTGTAAATTTAGTTTCGGCAGAGCCAGACATCCTTCTCCAGAGAAGTATTCCGTCGGGACTATACTTTCGTTCCAAATGATTTCTTCTGTGGGATACAAAGGCATCTCGTTTAGTTCTTCCAGTTGGGAGGCTCTGCGTTCATGGCGAGAGATCTGGAATGGTAATTTCTGTAAAAAATCTTCATTTCGAAGTTCAATATCAATCTTGGATCCAATCCGATTCGTAGATATCCAACAACAAATTTTCACTGATTTAAAGCGGTTCGATTGTTTTCAAGAGGAATTCTTTCCTAATAAGGAATACAGAGTTCGGAGGACGGTTCGGTGATCGAACGAATAAAAGATAAAATGATAAAAATCCACATTATTCGCTTTGATCGAACAAGACCTTCGAAACACGATAATTGGCGAATCATTTCCTACTTCCGTTACAACGTACCAGAAGCTCTTGAAGGAAGTCAATGTCATATCGGTACCAATTTTCTTCTTTCTCGTACTCTAGATGGTACCAGGTTCAAATAACTTGCGATCGATCTTAATTTTTCTTGACTGAAACAAAGACCAGACGATCGGTGATTACATACAGACATACATAGTATAATAAAAGGATTTATAGAAGAATGCGAGAAGGGAGTATAGAATTTCGCGAAAATAGGTGGTACCTCAGTGGGCCAAAGTGTTTGTAAAGGGCATCCCTGGTGTCGACGCTCGCCACGTTCGTCAGAGCGAAACTTCTCAGATCCGGGAACTTTGCGAAGACCGCTTTCTGCGCAGAAATCGAGTTTTATTGCCGTGGTCGTGATGCAAAACACTCACTATGCTATTCTATTTTATTCTATTCTATTCTATTCTATTCTATTCTATTCTATTCTATTCTATTCTATTCTATTGTATTATATTATATTCTGGTGGTCGACCAATACATATCCTTGAAATTGTTTTCGTTTTTTGTGGAAATGTGACTTGTGTCATTTTGTCCTTGTAAACCATACAACAGATTTATCGGGTTCCCGTCGACAGAACGACGACAGCTCGACGAATGGCGCCGGAGGATCCCCATTCATTAATAATACATGAGAGCCAAAAGCTCTCTTTCGTCTCTTTGTAATTCAATTCGATCGGACAGATGTGTGTACAGACGGTCGAGTTGAAAAATAGATTGACACGTGGCGTGCACGAGAGTCGATTTTAATTTACAATCGGTAAGTGATTGTAAAACACTCATTAATAGACTGCGGATTTTGTTCCGTTCCAATACCTGCAGAGAAGTGATCTTTGTGTAATGCAACTGCGTCATATCGTGATCCGTGAGTGGATCGCCGGTTTCCTCGTTAATCTCGAACCTCGCGTAGAACTTCAGCATCTCCAGTAGCTGTAAATTAAAGGAATCGTTAAGGGGTTAGGAAAGAAATGGTTAAAAAAAAGAAGGGAAAAAAAATCTAATAAAAATAGTATGGAAAGAATGAAAAAAACTAATAAAACTTTTAAAAAATCTTCTGTATAGCCCCCGAAGTGAGAGAGTAGAAACAGTAGCGTTAAGCTAAAGAAAAAATTGTTTATCACTTTGAAAATATTAATCTTACGACCCATGTTTATTAGGTCGTTTTTTCGTCATTCGACGAGTACTATCTACTCTAAATATTGATTAACCCGCCAATATACATATTTTAGGCCACTTTTCGTACTTTATCCTTAAATAATAATTCTTGTCCATCGAGCTTTAAGAGAGATCCCATAAAAAATATTTATTTCAGTCTTTCAATAATTACGTAACAGCTTAGTGGACTGACTTCATATTCGATAAGTATCCTAATATTTATGGACAACAATTGTCACACAGATCGAAACTGCATAGTTACCAATGACAAATTAGGGGATTAATTTTTTTGTTAAAGGGATCGGCTTATTTACAGATGGTGCACATCATCACACGGTGGTGTAAAATACACGGGCGACATATTATTTCTTAATGTCAAAGATGAAAGCAGTAACGGTAAATAGGCGATGAGTGTTTCAAGACCCCTTGGCACTGAACATTAAATATTTCATCGACTAATGGCCACACACGCGACTGAAAGAAATATCATTGGAGGATTTACTATAGTTACTCATCACAGAGGTGCAAAAAGACGAAGCAAATATGCAAAACGATCTCGAGACAGAAACAAAAGAATCCCATTATCTCTAATCTGCAATTGCATTTTCGTCGCAGCTCTTGGGCTTCGAATGTTTCTATTGTTCCTCGTGTTCGTCTCGTTCGATCGATTGTAATTCCAGAGATGTGTCGTTGTTCCGAAGGCGAGAATGTTGCGCAAAGGTCGCCATAAATTAGGCCACATGCTTGTCTAATTATAATTCTGGATATCTCGCTGTCAGAAGTGGATCGAAAGGTGTTATCGATCTAGATTCTAGATCGACCGAAACGATCGGAGTTCGCGTCCAGACACGATTTTCGCGAAGATCGTTAATGGATCTTTACAAGTAATCAAGACTGTTCATAAAAAATAAGGCTAATTTTCAAGCTGATGTAACTTTCGTACAGTAGTTTTTTGTTTCACATGTATGTATGTACATACACCGACGAGCAAATTCAGTTTCCACCAGGGGCAATAGCGACGTAAAAGGAAGGGCCTCCTACCACTTGGTCTTGGGAGTTAGTGAAAATTATGCGAAATTATCATTGGATTTAACACTTGTTTCGGTACTTGAAATAAACTTACCAAGTGGTAGCAGGGGCCCTTTCCGTACGCCACTATTTCCTATAGCAAAAACCGAGTTTTTTTTGTGAGTGCGCCTAAAAGAAAATAGTCGAGCGTTCTCAGCTTCATCGAATGTGAATTCAGTAGAGACGGCGGATTATAATGAACAAGTTTCGAAACGTTCAGTACGGTCCGGTTAGTTTAGTTTTAGTTCATCGACACCTCTCATCACGATCTTGCATAACGAATGATCTTGTCATTCAGAGAAATTAAGAGAAGAGAATTCTAGTATTCCGGTTTCACCGTAATATTTTGTACCTCGTTAAATTCTCCTTCTTGCCGCAATCTAAGATAGACGTGTTGGATCACGAGATTCGGAGGCCCGCCTGCCGAATCTCTGGAATGATTCACAGTGTGTCTCCGAACTTCGAAGTCCGAAGAATAATTTATTAGCATCGAAAGAAAAAAAATGGTATTATCTATCGGGCTCCATGCGAATCGTGTCACTGATTCAGCGTGGGGCGCTCTCTTCGTTGCGCGCGGCGACGGACACACATCGGAAATCGGAACAGCGATGGACGTGTGTTGTGAACCACAACGCACGACGAACGACGAACGACGAACGAGCCAGATATGCGACACAGTGGGAGAAGATTCGTGTGATATCTCCGACTGAGTAGCTCATCGATGCTTCATCCACGATTGTTTCTCAGTTTCACGGGTTCCACGCGCAGCGCATCTGTGCCAACGTGGTGTGTCAACCGTAACCTCTTTGTCGTAGTTTTTGTCACTTTCGTCGTTGTTTGTGCCCTCGGTGATGTCTCCGTAAAACGGTTCGTCCAACCGCACTCTCAAAAACGACCCAGTAAACCTTGTGTGCACAAAAGTGATCGAACCACCTCTCTTCTGTCATAATCCTCTTGAATATACTCGAGCAATTTCACACGAGTTTCCACTCGTTGAAACTTGTCGATTACCGAATATTTCAAACGAGAACACACGATTAAATATTTCACATTTAATTATCCACATATATACATGTATTAGAACTCCCATATTATTTACACGTCGAGACAGAGGATAGAGTGGTACGAAATTTTCATCGAATCCAAGAAGACATGTTACGCACAGTGGCCGATTTTCGCGGAGTTGTTTGATCACAGAAAGTATCTTAAAAGTTTAGTGTAAACAGAGAGAATACTTGTATTCTCCTCTCGAGAGACTTCGTCTGCGTGCGATCGAGTGTATTTGCTTTCGAGCATACACGGAAGCAAACACCAGTTCCTAGGAAAGGAGAGATGCGGTAACAAAGAAAACCAGGGAGATAATGTTGTTGCACGTGAGATACAATGGTCACCTGGGCACGTTGCCAGCCAAAGGTGCGTAATAACCTAAACCTCTTTGTTTTGTATCGTCTCTGTGTTTATACTCAGGATCGAGGTTCACCGAAGTGCAATGAAATTCCGTTTAAACCATTAAAAAAAAGTTATTAACGACAAGAACCGGTTTCTATCGGTAAAAAACCACGGTTTTCACGAATCCTCGTAAAAAAACCTTCGCAGTCGAGTCGCTGTAAAATATGAAAGATTTTCAACGTGGAAATCTTCCTGATTTTTACCAATTTCAAAGCATATCCTTAGTAGAAAAGAATACTCGAAACAGCCATTAGGACTTTACGTGTAATAATGTATTTATATGGTACATATGTATGTATATCGGTTGCATCACACGAAGCTTCACAAAACGAAATTCGCGGACCGATTTGTTGTTGTTGGTTCTTTTTTTTTTTTTACCGTTTGCCGTTGACGCAGCTGATATGATAAAAGTGTAGGCAGCGAGGAGACAGAAGGCGGGGAAAAAAAGAGAGCAGGCAATCATAGATACAAGCCATGGACGTTAGATAAGATGATAGACAGAAAACAACTTTATCGCGGTCGATTACGCGTTCCGTGTAATCAGAGTCTCTAATTTATTCTCTATGTAAAAAAGCACGTGATAGGAAAAATCAAGAGACCCTAGCTATAAGTGGAAATGTGCGAATGCCAAGTTTTCATTTTCACAAACTAATTCAAGAGAATCGCAATGGAACATTGGCGTGGAAACTCGACTTCCATAGGGAGAAGGGCCTCGTACTTACTCATAGTTGGTGAACTTATGTTCAAGTGTTGAAACAAATGTTAAATTAAATCTTAATTTGGCATAAGTTTCGGTAATTCCCCCGACGACCAAGTGGTAGAAGGCCCTTCCTCTACGCCACTTTTCCCCTGGCGGAAGCTGAATTTTTTCGCGAGTGAACATATGTACGTTAAATATACTACGTTACAGGTTTTATTAAATTCAAGATAAAGAATGTACAACAGTTCGCTTGCAACATATGTACACAAGGTTGTGTGTGAACCGGTTCCGAACATTATACAATCTTATTGCTGTGTACCGTTCCTTCGTAGTCAACAAGTTCCAATAATAATGTTAATAAATAAATAATTAAATGAAATTTTTAAACATTGAAAATTAGTTATTGAAGTTGATATTCGAAAATTAATGGTTGCCAATTTCACATTACCATGAGCTTTCGTTTATACATGAACGAAAAAATTTATGTTATAAATTATAAAAGGTTAAATGAATCGGATTGTCCGCCTGGAAGAGAAGAAAGCAAAATAAAAGAACGGTCAAGTAGAAGCATAAGTATATGTATAGTAGCGCATGGTGGCTGGATCGAATAAAGCAACTCTGCTGGTGCATGTGTACAGCAGTCATTGAGTAACAGGGGAAGAGCACAAAGAGCAGTCTCGCTGAACAGAAGCGTCCGTTCTTTACAGCACGAACGTGGAGCGAGCACACACACACACACACACACACACACACACAAGCCGGCTTTAAACTGGGTTATAAACACAGAAAGAAAACTGCGTTTCTTTACCGGGAATCTCGTACTCAAACTAAATGTGCTTCGTTCAGTAAGAAGACCATCGAGCCTCGATAACCAATACCTACAATTTCCCGCAATATGTGACAGCTATCTTATCGCAGAAACTGTTCTTCTTGTCTCTTTCACTCTCGCCCTGTGACTTTTTACTTTTGAAATACTCATTTTCATTTTACGGTATTATACAATACAAAAGTGTGTGGTCCCAAACGGACAACCATATACATACGTAATATACTGTATATGTATTTATGCGTATGTATACATATTACGTGTGTATAACACTTGTCTATCACGACGAGCAGTCGAAAAAACACGGCTTATCGCGTTGTGTGTGGTCATACTCAACGCGCGACTTACTCGTCTGTTGCTACTACATCCGCACCCCGGTTATACTGCGTATTCCAATATCAAGGCTCGATAAAATATTGCAAAATCGATGATTTCTCACGACCGCAGCAGCTGACGACACACCGGGCTTCCGTGTGAATTCGATCCTATCGATAACAGTCTTGCCTATACCTACTCAATGAAGTTAATCCTCCACTATCCGAGACGGGAATGTCACAGAGATTCTATTTTTCTTACTCTCCCATTTTCCGTAATTCTATCGGTTTAAGTTGAATATAAACAAAAAATTATTACAACGCACCTCTCCACTCAATCATATTTATTAAGGAAATGCATATTTATATGTATATGTATGTATGTATTCATAACTTAGAAATTCAGAGATCCCGTAGACTGATCCCTGGCCTAGTGAGTGGCCTTACGAGAGGTTAACCGATTACTTAGTCAATTTTTATTCCAGATACTTGTAAACTGTTCAAATATGGTTTTGTGTGTGTGTGTGTGTGTGTGTGTGTGTGTGGGGGGGGGGGGGTTTTTTTTTTAAAAAATTCTCTTTTACATATAGCGTTTCAGAGAATTTCGAACAAGTATAATAAATACTTATATGTACAAGTCCTAGGCCTTTTACTGTGATAACAAGTGGTACTATAAAGTACCGTCAGGACATTCAAAGGGTTAAACGATCCCGCGGACAGTAATGCCAGACAGCCAACGATCTTTGTTTACGATGCAATTGAACCTGTGGCGAGATTGATCGAACGCTACGCGGGAATAAATCATCGACGTGAATCATGCATGCCCGTTTTCATCCAGACCTTAATCTAATCGTTGATCTAATTTACACTCGCGTTATTAGATTATGACACACTTTATGCATATATGTATAACCCTTTCACTTTTTATCGAATTTTACGATTTCATCTAGAAAGAACATCTGAACCCTCGGACAACGATCACTGGGTTTCTAAGAACTTCGTCCAACTCAAACAGCTTCCGATAACTAATTGAAGCTAGTAATTTTTTATATTCATTCGAATAAAATGATATTTGTTCAAAAATGCATTCAGAAGAAACGGTGCACGTTGGTCCAAACGGACCCAAGTCATCAAAACTGTCTCTCTTCAGACGGTTAAGATCATGATTTTGGTCATCTTCGTCTATCAATACCTATTCCTAGATAAAATTAAATCTTCGAAGATCAGACAAGAATATATTATGTAATAATACATAGGTATGTATGTATGTATGTATATGCACGGGATTTTATGTTTCTGACGTGAATCGATTACAGAGACATCAAGTGTCCTTTCTGGTCTCGTTTTGCAACCACCGACCCATGTCTCCGTGGATATTTGTCGTTCCGTTAAACGTTATTTCCTTAAGTTCAAGATAGAATGAAAGGCTTCGTTGAAATTCATGGACGCAAGAAAGTGAAGTTTTTTTTTCCATTGAAAAAAACTCCACAGTTAGGATATCAAAGGATCCATCCATCGTTTTAGGTCTGCTATGGATCTGTCTGGTAACGTGGACGGTCACGTCGAGCCACGGCACGGTGGACTTGAACTGTTGCCCGAAGAGCTCCAGGTGGTCGTACCCGACGAACTGTTCCGAGAACGCGAGGTTCCGACTCAACTGCCAATACGGCAGCTATCTGATAGATCCCGATACAGTCCCGGCGGACAACTTCATCGTGATACAAGAGAACGGGAACGCTTGGCTTCAGTTCACGGAGGTTCACTACGAGGCGATCCCGTCGAACAGGTGAGCAGCGTGCCAATGGTTTTGCGTCCCGATTGAACCGTGACCGGATTTTATCCGATCTGCTCCCGGATAAATGAGCTCCAGCGGACGATAGGGTGTGCAGCAGTAGGTATCTAGTGGTGGCAAATCACATTTCAATTGTATCGGTAGGTACATGCCTACATTTGCTTTGGTATCGATACACATGTATATCGAGAATAAAATATCGATACTTGCATTTAAATTAGAAGTAATAAAATCTACAAATGAAAATAAATCATTGATTTAAGCAGATTCTCAGGTATTATAACAGCGTGAAAAAGAATCGACCAATCAGGAAACTTTATGGAAAGCTCGCTAAAATAACGCTAGGCAAACCGCCTTCGATTCCATTCTAAATACATATACGTTGACGCTAACATTCCACTATCTTTCACTGCTTAACCCATAAATATCGAGATTTCGATACAATCGCTATGTTTGCCGTAACGTAACAGGTCGTAAGAAAAACGGTCCAATCCCGAAATTCCCATCAAGGTTTCGATCGGTCGATTATATTTCCACACACTGTTACCCAAGAATCTACCTTAGTAAATATCTGCTTAAATAAATGATTTATTTTTATTTTGGGATTTTACTACTTTTCATTTACATATTTGTATGTGTCGATACAATTTAAGTATATCGACATCATTACATAGTGTGCAGTCACGATGTAATTTTAGATAGCAAAACTTACAAGAAAACTTCGATAATCCATCCGGGGGAAAACAAAGAAAATCCAAAATAAACGAAAATTCGGATTTTTGTGGTCGGACCTTACCACTTTTGTTTCTTCTTTTCTTGTATACATATAGATATATGTATATCTTGAAAACTATAGTAGAGATATTAAACCTCCCATAATGATGGCCGAGTCACTTCATTCAATACGCTTCGTCGATGTTTCCGAGAAACGAGGATCTGTCTGACGAATGAACAGAAATCAATTTTTCCGAAAATGCAAATTTTATATTACTTTTTACAAATTCTTGTAAATGAATGTTATATTTTTGTATAGTATTGTATAATGTCTTGTATGGCCATCGGCTTTGAACGTCCGTCATAGGGGGTCACAAAGTTGTTGGAATGAAAATTTAATGCTACAAACAAAAAGGAGGTTACAACTAGAACAATTCTATGGGGAGGATACCATTAGATACCATTAGATACCCGCAACGATTATCCTTGACAGATACGTGCACGATTCAAGGACTTCATATTATCGGAATATCATTAAGAATGGCAGTGAACTTGAACTCGAACCGATGTTTACTTTCTCGGGGAAAACCTGTTGCGTCAGAAGGCCTTCTTACGTTAAGGCGTTCGACGATCGAGGAAAAGCACAGATGACACATCCCCCGGAGCATCGATCCTTTGCTAGCCAGACCCAGTCGGTAGTTTTCTTTTTAACCGTGTAATTATCGTGAAATTTGCCGTAGACGAATAAAATTATCATAATCTCTCGATATGACTGGACTATACACGATGGATCGAAATTCGTGTACACAAATGAGGTCAAGGAAATAGTACCACTCGAAATAAGATGAAAATTAAGAATACACGAAATTTGTGTGTGAGGTTATGTTTTCGAGATAATCAAATTTTCAAATTTGACAAATGTGCAATTGAATAGGATCTGTGGCCAGGAGTCTAGCACGTCTGTTCACTGCATTTCGTTTCCACTTACTACCCCACACAAGAAACACACGAGCGTGTTTTAGGTTAATTTTAATATTAGATTTTCTCGAAAACGAAGCCTCTGACGGAATAATCTTATTCTTGATTTTCGTCTTATTCCGAGCCATACTGTCTCCCAGATTTCATTGTTACCACGAATATTGGCTCATCCTGTATACAAACAAACCGAGCGACGAAAGTACTATGTAGTACTTGGAAGTTCTTGATCTACCAACATACACGCCATCTTCGTCACCCCATCCCACTCCAGCAATCCTTGCTGCGGAACATTGACAAATACTAGAATCCTCGAAAAAGTATCAAATTTAGGAAAAAAAAAAAATACTTCAAGACTCGAAGCTTTATGTGCAATCAATAACAATCGTATTATTGGTTAATCAAAGTGAAGCAACAGGCAAAGTTCGTTTCTAAATGTTCCAGCGTATCGATGTATTGCGCAAATGAGAAATCCTCCCCCCCCCTCCCCCTTCCCCTACGAGAATTCGAGACTGCCAGAATACGCACACGCTACACCGTGACTGATCATAGAAGAATTCCCGTGCGTCAATGGCGACCATATTTAATAAAATCCTGTTCCATATTCAGATTCTGCGTGGCTGAGCGGGGAAACGGTAACGGCTCCCGGATCGCGTTGGCCTGTTTCGAGGACACGTACGACAGCGAGTTCTCGACGATATGGCGGAATACGTTGTTCTGCACGTTGGGCATCATATCGGCCGTGTTTCTGATCGCGACTTTGGCTGTCTACGTTCTGCTGCCGGAGCTAAGAGAGGTGCAGGACAAGGCGATGATGGCGGTGGTCACGTCGTTGGCGGTCAGCTACATCGTTCTGTCGATACAGAATCTGAGACCGCAGGAGGACGGAGATCACACGATATGCATCTCTCTCGGTACGATAACCGACCGGCTATTGGACACGCCAGTTTGTCGGGTCACAACAAGTCCAGAATCACAATTCTGGCAGCTCTTGTAATCAAAGAGAAATCAAGTCTTTTATCTTCCAAAAGAATTCAAATCAACTTATTATTGACCCTTAGATGACGAATATGGGTCTGTTTGTCACCAAGAACTTTAAGCCTACACTAATACACTGATACAGGTAAAAATTTTTGATTAAACATTTTCACGAGATTTCGATACGGGTAACAAATTACCCGGCTCTGCTTTCCACGTGTCCGTCTTCTGAGGGTTAACATGCACAACTGTGTGTTCATGAATTATTCTTCTCTTCGAACCCGGTTCAGTATCAGTGAAAAATAGAACAAAAATTCCCAAAAAATTCGACTTTCACAAAGATGTGGAGGACACACTGTTAGTGAATGATGACGTAGCCGAAGAGGACTGACTCCCTAAAATTTATAAGAATGTGTCCATTTACCTACTTTTGTTTCAATGAAATTTCTAAGTTTCAACATTCTTCTGTCTCAAATATGAGCTGCTCAATTGTGATTCTGGACTATTGTATATGGGCCCCAGTCTGAAAGTTCACGCGTATCCTTACCAGGGGTGTTCAGGTGTTGTTTTTTCTCCAAGTTTTCAAACTCACCGATGTTTTTTTTTTTTTTTTTTTCAAGGAGGTAACTATATATACATATATGTATTTCATTCGGTCATATCATGGTACATATCTGTATGTATTTGCTCACGAACTACGCCATACAATTGGGAAAATATATATTAGAAGGACAAACATCGATTACCTCGAAAACTTACAGAAAAAGACATTTAAAAAAAAAACAACGCCTGCAGGATAATGACCACTCAACACCGTTCAAATTAAGTATAATATATCTTTTGTTTTCGCACTTAAAATAGATATTTTGGTGAGGGGGTCACACTTAAATGAGACACCCTGTGATTAACGATCTTCTTGTACTCGATAATTATTCGGACAAACCTCTACGTTTATTCACGGTGAAAAGATATTGGACTGTAGATACTCGTTCTTTCGAAAAGAACTAAAGGTTGCGCGCGAATTTTCGAACTAGGTCACGATGTATACCATCTACTTTTTACGATATTAGTTAACTGTGTTATTCCATTCAGGATTCCTTTTGTATTTCGGTTTCGTGTCCGTTTTCTTCTGGTTGAACATCGTGTCGTTCAACATATGGAGAACCGTCTGGTAAGTCAAACGATGACAGAGAGAGAGAGAGAGAGAGAGAGAGAGAGAGAGAGAATATAGTTCGGGTCAACGAAACGGGTTTACCCCGAATCAATGACAATAGAGTTGTTGTTACGATTACAATTTTTGATCTATCAACATTATCGAATTGAAAGGAAAAAAAAATTAAAACGTCTTTATAATACAACATCATCCTTTTCGCAGGTTTCAGAGTTTTGCAATCAAGGACAAACAATTGTTCATGATCTATTGCGCTTGCGGATGGGGCGGGCCGCTCTGTTTTCTGATATCGGCACTGATCGCCCATCACATGGAGGGAACACACCTGAGACCGGGTTTCGGCGAGCGTAGCTGCTGGTTTAGCGGTGAGACCGAACGTATCGATTTATCTTTCCAGCCTCCGGCACGTCAGAGAGTGATTTACCGATTGGCACGACAAGTTTCGAATATTGAATAAAAGATAACCTCCGACAAAGATAACCTCGGATGTGGAATAAAAATAACTTCCGCCGTGAATGTTGAGAAATTCAATTACTAAAGCCGAAAGGACCGATGCTTTTATCTGCATGTCGTGACCTTAATAAGTAAAACTCCTATGTAACTCCATTTGACGGAACTTTACAGCAGAGCAATAAAACATTTTAGAATTAATTGAACTTATTAAATTACGGAAAATAAGTAAGTTTTTTGAACTTTATTTAATCTAGAGGAGTTGCGAAATTATTTCGGAAAATGTATTTATTTCGAGTGCTTCGACTGTCACTGAAATGCATAATTAACCCAAAAATGGAGTTACAAAGTTTATCTATTAAGGTCACGATATGCATTAAATGACGGTGTGGGATGATGATGATGATGATGATGATGATGATGATGATGATGATGATGATGTAGGACTTTTTGGGGTTCATGTAAGTGTAGATAATTCCGCGTTACAGGAACCGAGCAATTGTGGGCGTATTTTTACGGGCCGATCGCAATCCTGTTGTCGTTGAATATCATCTATCTGGGATTAACCGGCTGGCGACTGTGGCATCAGTACAACGATTACAACGGGAACAAGTTACGAGCGCTTCGGTTCAAATGTCTGCTATATGTCAAACTGATCCTGGTGATGGGCGTCACGTGGATCTTCGAAGTGCTGTCGTACGCGAATGGACCGAAAAATAACGTCTGGTAACTTATTTATTTTTCTGTCGACTAAATCGAACTCTCTGGTAATTCGATCTTGCCGCCCTACCATAGAAGGTCATATTCCAAAGTTTTTACAGAAACTCTTCAATGGAATCGCTAAAGCTAAAGCCTGTTTTTTATGTTAAGTTGATTCAGGAGTTCACCGAGAGGACTTGTTTGTCAGTCTATAACCGACTAGGTAGTCAAAATTTTCAATTCGTCGATCGTTGACCTTCCGCCTCTATTTCAATATAGGATCCCCACGGACATTCTGAATGCGTTACAAGGCCTGGTAATATTCCTGTTGCTGGTCGCGACCCGCAAACGCGTCAGGAAGCTGTTGGCGCGAAAGAGACCATGCGGGATCGCCTTTCCAAAATCCTGGGCAGCCTATGAGGACGAGGAGTGCGAAGAGGTGTTGCCCGAGGAAATCGAGCTGTCGCAGCAGGGCTAAACGTGCCGTGTCGACCGAGACAACAATTCCTTTGTAGACAATGAGACAACACACGAGATTGTAAACCGTTTGGTTCCTTACGATGCAAACACCCCGACAAGTAATTGTATTCCTATTTTCCTGTGTATCTTGAAAACTACAGTGGAAAAGAAAATTGTTAGGGATCAAAAATTTAATGGCTTTTTGTACTCTATGAAACTGTGCAATAAACTTGTTCGAAATTGTATTATTTAAATAAACAGATAAATAAATAAACGAATTTGTATCAATTTCATTGCACAGTTTTACAGAGTGTAAAAAAGCATTAAATTTAATTGTAACAATTTTTTTCATATCTACCGTAGTTTTCAAGATATACAGGAAAAGAAAAAAACACGCATTAAGCTTTAAGACGTGTTTTCACCCTGATACTTCGAACGAGGTGGTTCCCTATAAATCCGATCGAGTTCACTGAAATTTCATTTCCACCAGTTTCGCTGTAAAAAGCAGTACGTTTATTGTGAAATGTCGTTCGTTGTATCTTGTCTACCAAGGAACATTATCTCAAAAGTTCGAGTCAACAGTTTAGCCTTACCCACGCGTGGGAACGCGACCCAAGTCCTCGCTCTCGAGAATGAGTCGAAACGACAACTCTTATTAGTCGATAGCTAATCACACACGTAATGACGAACGGGAGGCACACGAGGAAGCGAAGTCCTTCTTAGAATTACATAATACATAATCGAATACTCCTACGGGTCGCCCTAGTCTTTAACGTAAGTCGAGCTCATCGGAACTTGTAGGTACTATGAGGATCGTTGCTCATAGTCTCGAACGAGTAATTAATTACTAGACTGCGGATTGATTGTGCAAAGCTTCTACCCATATTTTCACGGAAACCGGAAATCGCGGAAAAATGCACGCTGCTCGAAACAATTAGAGTATTAAAGGATCGCTGTTGGTGGGACGGGCCTTGTTGCGCGAGTTAAGTGGAAAGGAAACGAAATGAACGTTACAGGTTTCCATAAATTTACATGTTCTCCGTACGACATTAAGACTTAGAATAGTTTCAATTTTATATAATGATTTTCAGAAATGATTCAGATTGACAGGCACAGCAGCTGCAATGCATCTAATGTTCTAATTCGAAACCTAACATCTAAATTAAAAGTTTTCTGCAGCGTATTTCACCGATGGTGAGATGCATTAAATTTGAAACGAAAAAACAATGCAAAAAATTCATTAATCCTCGTTAATAATTTCGTATGTTATATACGCATGAAATCTACAGTCTATTAATTACCTAATGTTAATTTTCAAGAATCTCCGCGAAGGTTGTCGGCCAGCGACAACCGGAAGCGACGCGAGACGTAATAAGCGTCATCTGTCGATCTCTCACGATCAATTCTTGCGACTGATTCTGCCGATCTGCAGAGACTAGCTAGAGGTAAACCATCGTCCGAATCGTTACAATCGTGTTCCAACGACTTATCGCGTCGAATTCGAGTAAATCGTATAGATACACTTCCTTTCTACCCTGGGAACGCGCGTAAACGTTCAATCTAGTCGGTGCACGCGACGACAGTGGGCGATAGTGGGCGACAGTTTGCTGTTGCTTTTGACTCTGACGTCTTTTCGCCATAGAAATACGGTCAACAAGACGGACTACAAGCATCGTGCAAACGGGGCACGTGTATCCTTATCACTTAAACCATCGAAAATATTAAGACGTATATGTGCGTGTATGTGTGTATTATTTTAGGACATGAGCTTGTATCAATAAATGAGAACTAACGATACTTATTTAATTTTATGTGTACTAATACACCACATACTTACTGCGTACATATGTACTTTTTATACTTCTTTTCTGGACATGTAACTGTCACTTAAGTAGAATTCTGAGAAAAAGAAATTAGGTTAGATATTACTAAAGTAACATTGTACATAAAGTAGCACGTTTAATGTAGTTTTTACGATTGAAAATTATCAATAAGTCTCCCTAGTTCCATGTTAAGTTGAAATATCTATATTACTATTTGTAAAGTTGCCACTAGTTTTGGTAATAATTCAAGATGTTTTTTTCAACGCGAGTCATTAAATTGAATGGTAAACACCTTTCGTTTCACTTTTCTGTTATTTGTGCCCGCACAAAACAGTTTACAATTAACATTACATATTATCAATCGTTAGTGCACTTGCTAATTATTGTTCGATCACTACTGTCAACATATAGTCACTATTTCAAAAGATTCCAATGTCTACGGCGGTAAGTATATTTGCAACTCAGTCTAATAGAAAAAGTAACCCCAAATTCAACGAATTCTACGTTGGAAACGGTTCATTATACTCTTGATCGAACCCATTTTTATCACCCGGGCACAGGTTCAGTTCTTCAATGTTGACGACCTAATTACGAATTCGTGGATAATTTCTATTCCGAAAAAAACTGGTATGTGAATCCTGAAAGGGAAATTGTTTCGAGTCTAATGGCACGCGCGGATCGTCGGGTCTATGCAGCATGATGCAGCATTCTGTTTTGACCGTGAACGCGTGAAATCCCCGCAGTCTATCGAGGAGTGGCGCATGGCTTGTGTTCATGTGGTTAGCGTCACGGTGGTTAAGCGCGGGGCAACGTGCGCAAGTCTCTTAATAAAGTAGCCTCAACGGAGACGCGACGATAAACGGTAGAACGCAGAAAGGGAAGGACGTGTGTGTCTGGCCTGGCGGCACCCAACAGTGGGACAACGTTTCTATGTGCAATGCTCCGCGAGGCGGCGACGCGTACTTGCGTGTACGCAATGATTCACAATTGTGTGCCTAGCAGCAACGAATCTCGCTGATCGAAATTCCAGTAACGCGAGCGTGTTTTGTCCGCGCGTGAAACGCGAAACTTCTGCGTAACACCGAATCGCGTCTGCGAAACGGAACTTGAACGAATAAGAAAAGAAAGAGAGGCGGAGCATGGGAGAAGCTACTTCGTACTTTTTGACCGATTTATTATAGGAATTGTAAAAGAAAAATTCATGATACCTGAACACTTTGGTCTCCCTGGGATTAGACTGTGCGGATACGTACATGCCCGTGTAAACACGCATTTCGATAGATCGATGTTGACAAAGAACTCGGAATGGCATAGACACTTCTTAAATTAAATGTCCTACATAGTACATGCGAGTACTTATTATGTACCCTCGCGAGCAAACTCGGCTTCCGCTAGGGGAAAAAGTGACGTAAAAGAAAGATCTCCTACCACTTGGTAAAATTTATTTCGAGTACTAAAATAAATGTTAAATCGAACGTTACTTTGGCATAAATTTCAGTAATTCCCGATACTAAGTGGTAGGTGGCTCTTATCCCTACGTCGCTTTTTCCCCTAGCGGAAGCCGAGTTTGGTCGCGAGGGTACATGTATACAATCCGCAATCTGCTTGTTGAAATGTGTTTGTATTCGTATTTGTTGAATTCGTAATTAGAGTCATTAGAGAAGAATCGCGTGAATAATTTTTTTTTCTCTTTCACACGTTGGTCGGGATTTTTTATCCGGCTACCAAGGATTTCGATTGTAACGTAGTCGGCTTTTAAGAAACTAGTTTGTACGAACCAACCTGTAAATACAATGTACGTAATTACAAGACGAAAATAAAGATTTTGTATCGATGACAATGAGTGAGTAATGTTCAATTTCTATGAAACGGTGACTACGATAGAAGAAATATCTTGTGCGTTTTTTGAGGCAGAGCGTTGATAAGTCAGTTTTGCATTTAATTTGTCTCTTTAGGGGAAAAGAGTGTTTTCTGATATCTACAGGCGTTATTTTTTGTGAAGAATCTGCGATATGGCGGGGGTTTCATTGGTATCACAATAATGGTCACTGTTGAAACGACGAGAACGAAAAAAATATATAAAAAGCGAGGTGTCAGTTCAGAGACAAACTAATTACGTGATCGTGATTCGAAGGAAACGCGGTATAATCGTAAATACACAGAAAATCATTAATGAATCAGACGCGTGAATTCTCGATATGCATGTATATATGTACGTATGTATGTATACAGTATACCGTGAATACCTTACCGCTTCCAACTATACATATAGAAGTATGATGGTAGTATGATGGTTGAGCGGTACAAATTAACAAGATATTTGCATAGATGTGTAATAGTATACTATGTCCGTTTCTTTCGTAACTATAATATAATTAAATCGTAAATACAGTTATACAATAAAAATTAGGTATCATCGAAATATGTATAAGTATGTACATATTTCCATTCAATTATTATCCGCTGTTTATACTGATAGTTTTCCAGACGTTAGGCTAACTCCGTGCCCTGACCTAACAACGAAACATCGAAACCTCCTTAGACTGATTTAGAAATAAATGCACGAACATATTCGTTATTAACACTTTTCTACATGCCAGCCTGTTTACTTCTTTTAAATGATAATCGGAGGAAAAAATTATTACAAGTTCGTACTGTCATTCTGAATACAACAGGCTTTTTCACGCGAAATGCTATTTTCTTTTTCCAGCACATAAAAAAAACTCAAATCTGCTTAATATCTCGTCCACTCGAATCAAGTTTCGGTATTCTAAAATAATCATACAGCATTCAACCGTGAAGCTTCTTCCGCCCAATATTCTTTTCCAATAAAACTCGTAACTACGGAAAACGACAATTCCAAATACCTTCAACGTACCTATACACGATCGTATTTAAACTAAAATTACAACTGTGGAGAAGAGTCAACAAGGACTTACGCAAAGTAACCGAGAAAAGTGAGGATTGGAAGAGGGGACCGAAGGTAGGGGAAGCGATGAGACAGCCATGGAGGGAACAGAAAGGAGAGAGAGAGAAAGGATTATGTTAGCGCAGTGTTTCTCAAAACATGGGCTGCGATTATCACATGGAGTTACCGCAACGACATTTCCAATTGTTCCAAGAAAACAGAACTATCGCTCTACTATAAAGTGAGTAATTTATAAATGTGTTCGGACGCTGAAGCGAAAGGATTGACAGAAATATAGTTTATAAAGTGTCTTGGGCGTCACTTAACCACCTACGAGTTGTTTAAGGTCTGTCTCCAGTATTATCCTTCTTCGTTATTAACTTGCAATAGCAAACAAAAAAATGAGGGATCTGGTTCGAGTTCGTCCCTAGCAAGGGGCCTTACGAAATATGAGAAACACTGGCGTCAGCGAGTGAGTAAGAGACTCGAAAGAAAGAGAGACAAAAAGACAGTGAGCGCAACAGTGAGAATGGGAATGAGATGCGGCGAATGGCGGCGGCGGCGGCGGCGACGGGTATGGTATATGTATGGGCAGGGGTAGGTCTTGCTAGGCGGGTAACCCGCCTGGCAGCATTGGCAGGTATGGCGATGAACACACGGGAAGCCCGTCGTCGCGCGTCACTATGAACGAGTGAACATCTATTGCCCATGAGGTATCCAGTCGTGGCCGCCACGAAATCGATCCTGGGAGACGCGCGAGGAAAAGACGACGACGATTTGAACGCGCGCGGCGACGGAATCAATGCACGACACGGGGGACAAGTGATCGCAAGTTGGGAAAGGTGCCGATTCGATGATATGCCTTGTCTCGTGAATGTGGTGCTTGTGGTCGTGGTCGGTTCACTCGGGTGGGATTACTTGTTACAAACGGTGATCGCCAGTACGGACGTCGCGAAAACCGGCCTAATCAGTGTGGCGAAATGTTGCGAGCCCGAGGAACTACTGCTCGACGACACGTGCACGCCATTGACGGAAACAAACGAGACGCGGTGGCAGCCAGAATTCATGGAGGAGAAGGTGAACGGTATCTCGAGAAGCAGACCGGTCAAGCCTAATTATCAATTGAAAATCGGCCGGCCGAAATGTCAGCCGAACGAGCACCAATGGAACGTCTATCATTATCGATCGGGGGACGATCGTCTTGCGATCCTGACTACCGGTGTACTGCGGCACTACACCACCGATCTGACCAGAGGATCGAATGAGAACAACGGTGTTTACGGCTACGGCGGTCCCGGCGAAATAACAGACGAGTACGACCTCGACACCGTGTCCGTTCACTACGACTATTCGTTCGGGCACTATTGCGCCGACAAGGCGATTTTAAGCAGAGACAAACTGGTCGTCACGTACGCTATGATTTGCGTGCCTGACGTGGTCGTCGGATGGACCGACACGAATTATTTAATGAGGCACGCGATCGATCCCGCGTTTCACGCGATATCGATAGCCAGCTACCTGGTCGTCGCTGTCGTATACTTCGTTTTGCCGCAGTTACGTGATCTCGTGGGAAACATGATAACCAGCATGACGTTGTGCCTGATTGCCGGCCAATGCGCCTCCACGGTCAGAATATTCACGGAGTTCGGCAATCACATTAGTTTCATGGTTGCCGGTACGAAACGATAAGAGACTAAATTATACATGTTAATAGAATCGTCAACGTCCAAAATTACGGGTTCGGTTGTTTATGTATTTTTGTTTTTCAGATACTGTACTGTATGTCTCTCTCCTAGCCGCGTTTTTCTGGCTAAACGCTTTGGGTTATTACGTTTGGAGTACATTCCGTTCGCGGAACGTGTTCCTTAGAGTAACCGACGGAAGGAAATATTGTTACTACTCGTCGTATGTTTGGGGCTCAACAGTTTGCATCGCTGGCACCGCGATATTCGCGCACTTCGCTCTGGAGACCAGTAGACCTGTTGTTGGTGGGACTGTTTATCCACCACAAGAAACGATCGGTTGGCTCGGTGTTTCCGTTCTGTTCACATCCATCGCTTTGACGATACTGGTCAATCTGAGTTTCGTGTTGACTACCGCGAATCGAATCAAACGAATGAATACGTACGGTCGGATTCACCACAAAATGAAATACAGCTTCAGAATGTTCGTATTTTTATTCGCGTTGATGAGCACAGGATGGATCTCGCTACTACTGTCTCGACTCAATTACGACGTCCTTGTGTATTGTCATATCGTTGTCAACTTGCTTCAAGCAATGTCAACATTGTACGTTTGTGTTTTCGGTCAGAGAAGAGTTACATTTTTACTGGGTAAAACGTGCAACTGTTGTAACTCTGCGGAAAACATCGAGGGTCTTGATTGGGGGGAAGAAATGACTGCCATAAACGCGGGATATTGAAGAATTTTAAATTTCGTTTCGTATTTTTCACATTTAAAGAGAGAGAGAAAAAAAAGAAAGAGTTGCATTAAGATTACGAAACAGAATGCCTGAATGTTTTTAGTGGTAGCTATAGTCGGCAGATATATTTTTATTTTCTTCGTATAATGAACGAATGTAACACGTCCGAGAACTCTATCGACAATTCTGAACTACTGTAACTTGTGCCTAAAGTATCTTTGGTACTTTCGAATCTACATAAAATATCAGCTGTTCTGTTTCTCATGACCCGCATTGTTTAACTCTAAACCTGCTGTTCATGATAACATCATGCTAATGTAAAATAAGACATATCATCGATCGGTCGTGTATGCATACAGTATTATGTACACGGTGAACTTAACGGCCAGGTGATCCACTCGAACAGATAATTCTGTTCTAATGCGAATAACAACAGAGTAAATCGAAACATTGTACAGAATCTTTATCTACAGAGTGAGCAAAATTTCAAAACAGAAACATTATAGCAAAATATAATGCAATATGAAATTTAATTAGTTTCAAACACAAATATCAATGATCGTACGTGCCTTGGATAAAAATTACTTTTGCCTTATGGAATTGTGCACTTATTAGGAGGATACTTGATTAATTCATAATACAAAATACACATACATATGACATTGCATAAATATTGTCGCTACATCATGTTTTTTTAGAAACAATATTATCCTTTACATCATTTTTTACACTTAAGACATTCATGTAGTATTTATATTTGTATAGATATGTAACTTTTGTACAAAAGATGTATCATCTCAATATACTCTTATAAAGTACATGTTCTTATAATTTTCATTTTTTCTTGCTCTCTCTGTATTAGAAGAAAAAAAAAAGTATAAAACGTAACTTACCTGTCCAAATAATCCACCTTCAGAACGGTGTAACAAATTAGATAACTGACATCGTACAACCAGATGACAATCATCCATAACAGTGTTGAAGAAACGTCTAGTTGGTAACAGAGCTTCTAGATCTATTACCAATTCAAGGAATCTTTCACAGTATCGTACTTTGTCAGGCAAAAGTGGTCCTATCAAAAAGTTAACGGTTATAGCAAAACATTCCAAACGACTTACATCGTACATCATACGCACTCAGGTATAACAGTTGGCCTCTTCAAAATAAATGTATGATATATGCATCTATAATAATGAACTCTGTTCTATGTATCTATAGGTCAAGAGATACATATTGCAGAGATTATTAGGTGGACAACTATTATGCCTGATTCTGTAGGAATTCCAAATTTTATTGCTTTACCTTCTTCCAAAATTGTTTCCAAAATTGTCATAAACTTGATCATTAACTTGTGTAGGAACTTTCTTTCCCATTCCAGTTTCTCCTTTAGATCTGGACTGTCTTTCTTTCTTAAAATTTTCCAATACTTCCGCCACTTTGGATATTTTCTAAATTCCGATTCCCTACGTCCTTGTTGCAGCGAAATCCACATAGACAGTGAAACTAATCTCTTCACTTCTTCTCTAACCAACAACACCTCCATAGAATTGAAACAATGATTCAAAAATACAATCAGTGCTGTCTGCTCTTTCAAGTCGAAATCCATTATACCAGCTTCCAGGCAAGCTTCCAGAACTTTTTGAAAGAATTCAGGAAAGTGTTCGGGGCTCTTCTCAAATGCTTCCCAAACTTGAACACGTTCACGAAACTTCTCATTGACCATAACAACAATGGACATAGTGTGAGCACGAGTTGCATTTGTTGCACTATAGTTAGGCCATAAAAAGTTCTCTAGATATTGACTGAATTCTAACATCATGATTCTTCGAATAGAAAATTTTGATGCACATATTTCTTGAACATAAATGTCTTCTACTATTTGAGGATTGAAAGGAAGATGCGAGTCCGTCGTATGCGGTGCCCAGTACTTGTTTGCAAGCTGCAACAAACAAACTTGACTGTCTGCATTTTGTACAGTAATGTGTAACGAAGTAAAATATTTATAGTAGTAAGTACCTGAGTTATTCGATCAGCATTTATCTGCTCAACCGTCGGAGCAGGATTATTGCTTTTAACAGCCGTGCCGTTTTGATTTTCCATGGTATCTTTCACGAATCTCTCAATATTCACTACATAACCTAACTTAATTCGAACGAAATAATTATTAAGGTTAAGTATTAGACGAGACGATACACATACAACTAACAATTCGTTCCAACTACGTACTCGCGTAAAAATATATTTAGAATTATCTTATATCATTCATTTTAATTCATTTTCTGTATGAATGCGTGTTTATTAATTACACTCACTCTTAATCAATTATTTACCACGTATGATTTTATACAAAACTATATATACCAACTATACGTGCTAAGCATTGCTGAGCAAAGCAGAGCAGTGCTAAGTAATTCTGTATCACAGTTGTATACACAGGTCTGGAAACTCCAGTGTGGGGGTGATCCCTTAAAGAAACAAAGTGTACTTTCGAACTTTGCCACGAAGCGAGGGCACTACAATATTTACATCCAGTCATGGATCTAGGAATGGGACTTTGCGCTCCGTCTTCTAATTCGTATGTCCATGGGTTCAGTCAAGGTATACATTCCCTGTGGCGCATGCGCCTATTCTTGCTTTTAAAACACGATGAATGAATAAATGACAACTAAACGTTTTGACAGTAGCACGATCTTAACTTTTAGTTAAAGAAAATAATATCTGAGGGACAAAAGTGAAACATTCCAATGAAAAATATTTGTACATTTCGAATGAAGAAATCATATTACAACGTGGCACGCTCTCTACTGGCAGCTCGCACAACTTGTGTTCCGCATGCATACGGTGTATACGACTGTGTATATACGACCGACGCTGCATCAGCATGCGTTTTTGTACGGACGCATCGATTGCGGTGTTGCGTGGCTAGCGGAAGATTCATGAAACTTTTGATCTTCATTAAGAGATCATCCCCATCACAGGAGTTTTCGGACCTGTATATACGACTAGGGACGAATCGATACAAGTAAATACGAGTACATTACTGGATACTTTTGTTTCGATACCGAGTACTTTTGGTATTGATACCTGCGGTTGCGATACCAAGTAGTATCGAACAAAAGTACTCGTATGGAATGGTGAGTATCGACCTGTGTAGTAGCTTGGTAAGAGGGGTCATAGAACCCCCAGAGCATGCGTAAGAGACCCCGTGTGTGTGTGTGAGATGTATGTGCATATTTATTTATCATGTACATATATCGTATATAGTTTATACATACGTTTATGTTTATATGTTTTATATTTCATATTAAATATTTAAATAAATATATAAAGTATAGTATTGTATTTTATTCTCTCTCAACGCAGAAACAACTTTTGTGTTGGATATCAAGGTTAGAAAAATATAATTCGATCAACTAGTATCGATAATTTTGTTTCGATACCGAGTAAGTATCGATACCTTCATACAGAAGTAGTTCCCAATCACGATGATTTTTCACAGTGATTCGTGATTTCCCGTGATCCTTTCTTATTGGTGGAGAAACCTAACAGTTCTTTACACGCGATACATAATTTGTATATTTCACATTAACGACATCAAAACAAAAATTAGGGTTACATCGTATAAAGTGAAGGAATAAATAGAAACAATGAAGAATAATGAATAAATTAATGATTACAAATTATAATCTACATGTTACCTAGCAAATCATTTTTTTAGAATTTCTTGTTTTTTCTACTGATGTTTACAAACACGAATAGTAATGTAATTCATCGTAAAATCATATTGAATACGTTTTTCTGTTTAAAGATCAAGGACTTACGATCGCAGTGAGCAAATTCACCCAAGATAGAAAAATCGCAATCACGGTTGTGAATGAAGTTAAATCACGACCGTGATCGTGATTCGGCGATCATTGTGATAAATCACCGTTAGTGATTTTGCACGCCATCTCTATACAGAAGTATATTGTTGCTAAGGAAAAACTTGTTCCGGTTCACCCCCCGAATGCCCCATTTCCGGGTTGGACAACAGTTTTATTACACCCTGTATACGACCGTGATACGTATGTGTCGTTCGATCGTGTTGAAGCTAATAACTGAAGATAACTGAAAATAACCATGGTTATAACAACAATGGAGGCTTAGTCGTCGTGTGATTCGGTGTGATGTATTCCTCATTGGTTGATTTTGTACCAACAGAAAAACTCTACAGGCGACGTTCAAACGCTACTGATTGGTCGTAACAAAATTTCAGTCATTTCTATTGGACAAGAAGAAAAACAATTTATATTACGTATATTTGAATATAGGAGAAACAATCATAAAAAGCAGTGTACGTATTATTATTGGTTGATGCAGTTGTTTGTAATGTGACATACTTATGTAAAGAAGAATAGGAATTCTTGTGATTCTCTTTATCTTTATACATACGGCAAGTACCTATTCATTTTTTTGTTACACGTTTCCTTGCTTCGTTCGATAGACTAACTCCAACTAACTCAAAGATCAACGGCAGTTTCATTGTGATTGTGAACGTGGGAAGTTATACTTACAATTTATCTACGAGCGCAACTTATTCGATTTAAACAACCTTCATATGCATACACAGCAGATACTACACTATTATGTTATACCATATATGTTGAGATACCAAGCTATTACAATTTATCTCAATAGATATACTATCAAAGCTTAACAGTATTTGTTTACTGATTTTAAATTCGATACGTGCTAAATATGTAATTATCTCGATGTATTTTGAATATTTCTGAAACGTGTTACATATTCGAAGCGTGTATACCTAACTATACTCGTTATCACGTACATATTTGCAATCTTAGAATCAATATACGTTACAAGAAAATATTTATCGTATAAACTGATTTATATACATAAGTGTATGTACATATAATGTCAAGGAAGACCAGAACGAGACGCGATAGCGAACCATTAGATAGGAATACTAAAAGAATCAAACTGTCACAGGCAAATGAAAAAGAAGTAGAAGACGATGTTGTACTTACAGATATTTCTGAACAATTATTGTTAATGGAACGTAATTTGGCCACTGAGTTAGGAAAAATTACATTCCGACAACCTGTAGAATATGTTTATAGTCCTCTTGAATATGCTTTTGATACACATGCTATGTATGTTAGAAAGTATTGCTCCACTGCCAAGAAGATTTTATTTCTTGGAATGAATCCTGGTCCCTGGGGTATGTCCCAGACCGGAGTACCGTTTGGTGAAATAAGTATGGTTCGCGATTGGTTAAAGATTTCTGGGCCAGTTGGAAAGCCTGCCAAAGAGCAGCCAGATAGAAAAGTGACTGGATTTCAATGTACACGTAGCGAAGTCAGTGGAAAGAGATTATGGGGACTCTTTCGAGAGTTGTGTGGAAATTCGGAGAAATTTTTTAAACAAGCATATATACATAACTATTGTCCTATCGCATGGATGGATAATAAAGGCAGAAACATCACACCAGCAGAAATAAAGGCAATGACAGCTTTCATGTAAAATTAAGTTCATACGTTAAAGATTTTATATTTTTAGGGGACTGAAATAGAGAAGGTGCATTCCGCATGCGATAAGGTTCTGGCAGATACAATTCGTCTATTGAAAGTTGAGACTGTTATCGGTATTGGTATATATGCAGAGAAACGAGCAAAGCTTGTGGTACAATCTTCTAAATTGGTCGCCAAGGTAGCTATAATTATTAAAAGTGTTAATTATTTCTGTTATCACAATAAATTGTAAACACATTCGAGTATTTTCAGGTCCTATGTCTACCTCATCCAAGTCCAAGAGCCGCAAATAATAAAAACTGGAGTGAAAAAGCAACCAAAAAGTTGTCCGAGTTTGGACTCCTCAAGTGTTTTACCAATTGAAACCCATAACAATATAAAGACACACGGACCAAAAAAGTTGTGAAAACGAAAAGCGATTAAAATATGAAGGCTTCTTTCTGTTAGCATTGTTAATATCATAATATCTGTTTTTGTGTATTTTAATTTTCCCAATTTGACAAAAAAAAACATTTGAAAATTTATAAGTATCGCGTTATAAGAGAAACATGAGAACCCATATGGCTTGGATGGATGTTGCACTAGAAAAGGCGAATGACTCCTTAAAAGCAGGAGAAGTTCCTGTTGGCTGTTTATTTATATACAATAATGAAGTCATTGCTACGGGTAACAATACAGTTAACGAAACACGTAATGCGACTAGACATGCCGAGATAAACTGTATAGATCAGGTTTTCGAATTATGTAAGACTAACGATTTGTATTACATCGAAGTGTTTAGTAATATCGATGTTATAGTTACCGTAGAACCATGCATTATGTGTACATCAGCATTGTATCAACTACAAGTACGTAATATTATATACGGTTGTGCGAACGATCGTTTTGGTGGATGCATTAGTGTTTTTAATGTTTCTGAAATTTATAAATCACGAACAAAGATAACGGGTGGTGTTAAAGGTGATGCAGCAATGACTTTGTTGAAGCAATTTTATAAAGGTACAAACCCAAATGTACCTGAATCAAAAATAAAAAAAGATCGCAAAACAAAAAAGTGCATAAATCTAGCAGGCATCGTATATAAGTAGTTGTTGACAATTTTGACGCATTTCCTTTTCTTTGATTTTGTAACGAATAGAAATAAAAATTTGGATTTTATTTGGATACAATAACAGCGCTTGATTAATAAATACTTTTCTTTAAATATAAATTTTCTACGCAGTAAGTATAAAAATATACGTAAGTGGTTTTACACCTGTGTAACATTACAAAATAATATATCATTATTTTTTATTGTTTTGTACTTATTTATACACATGTAAAGATTGTTTGTAATAAATTATTATAAAACTATTTTAGCTGACAGGTACTTATGAACACCAGGAGTAGTCTATTTCACATTTTCCTTGATACCATCTGACTAATAACTGATTCCTTAGTGTGTAATCTTTTAGCACCATATCTTTTGTCTGAAAGTAATAATTGGAATTTGTTTAAAAGGAACAAAAAAAAGATAAAGTAATAATGGTATACTTCAGAAAATAACATACTATGGGTGGTGGAAAGACTCTTTGGAAGTCCATTCTATTCCGATGTTCGAGGTAACTTTGGGACAAAATGAGTTTGATTTCAGTTGTGAAACACGGTCTACAAAGCTGACATTCTACGCGGAAACAATCATTGCATTTTGTACAAAGTTCTGGAAGAACTACCAAGTTCTTATCAACTACCATCATTTCTTCCTCCATCTTACTCCTAAAATGAAACGAAAGGTATCAACTATTTCTAATTTAATTTTAACACGACATATACTCGTACACCTACCTTTTCTTCAAGGAATCTTTTCTGACTCTCTGTCCAACACCGACTAGAGCAAACAAATTATATATAACTTGCTCGTAAAGCAACTGATTCGGCGGATAATGAGCAGAGGACAGGTTCGGGGACATGTTAGCCTCCATGGTGTACACATTCAGATCTTCATCGAGAGCAAAGTCGACCCTGACTAATTCGAAAAAGTTTCTTTCATTTCCGTAACGTTTCATTGCTTCTTTGATATAGCCTTCCTTCGACAAAGTAATTTCTTTTATCGCCTCACGAACAGCAAGCCATACTTTTTGCGGATCTTTTCCTTGTGATTTTACGTAAGCGTCAAACGAATCTTTCATCGAAAATCCTAGATTAGTGTAATAATGCTTCAACGAAGGAACATTCCATATCGGCAAATAATCGTCACCAACTACATACTTGTCCAAGATTTTTGGATCGAATGGATAATATTTTATAGGACAGAATCTAAATAGAACATCACCTCCATACACGTACACTCTAAGAGGATCAATGGAAGTGATCGCAGTATACACGCCAACATCAAACTTGTAACCGTCGACAAGAAACGGTCGTTGTATAAACTCCTGCACAAAAGAGCCAGTCACTGTTAAATTTATGTCACTCGTATTCTTCACGCTGATACCCCGATGATCATTAGATTTCTGTACGAAAGTCTTCTCAGGATACTCGTTGGCATAGTTTACAAATTCTTCCTGTTGTTCCGGTAGTTTAAACGCCGGAAGTATATATCGTCCTTCCGTTATCGACAAATCCACCTTGTTCGTGATGTACCCACAACCGGGAAAATGATTGACACGCTGATGTGCTTCCAATTTACTTAAATTCGACGATAAAACACGGAACGGATAGTCGTGTGCCCATAACAAATCCCAATCTGAATCATTGTCGCTCTGTTGAAAACCCAGCCGGTTTAGTACAGCGAATACGTGCTTCAAGTATCCAGTATCGTTGCTTCTTGCATATAACCTGTATACTGGTCTTTTTTCATGAATTGTCACCACTCTCGTTTGCACTGTTACTAAGTTTTCTTGATAATATAGAAAGGCGAAAAAGAGACAGTATAATATTATCGGACCTACTACGGAGTATAGAAAAATTTTCAGCAGCGTCTTCACCTTTAAACTCATGACTTGAGCGTAGACCATAGGATCGGTATCCTGTAAAGTTAAACCATACCTTTGTTAGAATGGTTTTTCTTTCGAGTAAATGACTGAATACCTAAGTAGATGTTTGGCGAATGCTACGAACCCCTTTCTCGTCTTCTTTTTTCTGTTTCTTCTCGTCGGACATGACGAAACATATGATTTCAGTATCATTTGTCCATGTACCTGAGGAGGAGTCAGGAGGAATGCAGCAGAGTCAAGAAGAGTCCTTGTCTGTTTAAAGCGCTAGGTCGTGGACAATGAAAGTACCGTTGTAATTATCCCCGCCACCCAAGTGGGACATATACATACGTAGAGAAACCGGTTTTTTTACACGGATCGTTCACTGTGTCCCCATTTTTTATATTCTTTGTAACAATATCAGCATACAACTGATGGCAAAGTGTGGATTTCAGTAATATTTAATAGGCTGTCGTACCAAGCAACACGCAGCAGCCATGACTTTTGTAATATCGATAATTTGATATTCCTATGTATATTCCTTACAACACGTACACACTTTATAAGTATACGCAAAGTCTATGTATATTAAGGGATACGTTCCTTCATTAATTACGTGAAAAACTGTGGTAGTTAATTTCCGTTAGAAAATTCGAACAAATGTTGTAATATTAAATATGAAAATACGATTGTACGACGACACGATGAATTCATGTTCGAAAATATTTCAAAACAAGCGGAAATCGTTTCTTGTAGCCCGCCGCTGCGCATCGTCACGATTCAAGTCGAGACGGTGTTTCCGGTGTTTCCTGTCTTTTGCGTTGTTGAATCGGTACAACGAGCATCTTCTTAACGAAGAAATGGGTTTTCAAAATATTTGGTACTCGCATCCGCGAAAGTATGGACAGGGATCTAGGTCCTGGTAAGTATTAACACTTGCTACATTATTCTGTAATAAAATTACACATTTATGTCATTAAGTTACACGGCACTGACTTGACCGCGTGTTGCTGAAGTTTACATTTGTCTCTCTGGTAATGCAATATTTCCGTGAAAACCGATACTATTTGTTTAAATAATTACAAAAGTAAAAGTTGTTAGTCATTCTAAGAAAATTGCATATGTACATCGATTAATTTATCTTACAAATGTAAAATGATTTCTATATGACAATCATAACCTTGAAATTATGTTACCGTAAACACTAACGTATTATTCTCATTTACGTTGTTTTATGCTTCTAATTACGAATATTAATAATATAATTCTTACTTTACAGTCGTGCTTGTGCCAATAGGCATGGATTGATTCGCAAATACGGTTTAAATATTTGCAGACAATGCTTCAGAGAATATGCCGCTGACATTGGTTTCAAGAAGGTATTATAATACATACACTGCATTAGATATAGGAAGCTTTTATGCATTAATCACGTCATATTTATTAATATCATAATTTATATATTACCTTATATTTGTAGTTGGATTAATGGAGAAACTACATAGCCGCTACAGTTTCGCAAAGGAGGACCGCGTTCAAATTTTAGATAAAACAAAAGTATATGTAAGTCCGAAATATATTAACCTTGCATTGGAAATGGATTAATTAAATCAATTGAAAAAGAAAAAGAAGTTGCGTTTACCTCGGACATGGATTAAAAAGAAATATAATTTTTTTGTATTACACACAGTCGTGTCATTTTTCCACACTATGGGAATCCACAAACTGAGAAGTATCTACTATTACTTCTTAATTCGTTACGTTCGACTAAAAGATCAGCTTACAATATTCCTACTAATTCGTAACAGGCATAAATAATAGACAAATGTTAACACTGCAGAAAATTGCTAAGAAATTGTACGAACTTTCATTGCTGAAAGGTGTACAAATTTTTATGTCTTTAATAACAATATGTCTGTGCGGTTTTATAATATAAATTTTTGGTAACTGTAATTGTATTCAAGCATGTCATACCATTTCGTTTTCTAACATCCTATCAAGTTATACAAGCTTGTATATTGCATTAATTAAATTTTAGGTACCAGTGCACAAATAAACGTGCTTACCGTAGTACGCACTTTGTCACCATTTTGAAAATGTATGTTTAACAAAAGGGAAAAGAAGTCTAGACTACGCGACAGATTCGTTAAGAATTCTGATATCATTAGTCTACGAAGTGAAATAGCACAAATATCGATGTCTTCGGTAATTACAATATTGTAATAGTTATGCAATGACAATGCAAGTCTCGAAACAGATAAATTCAGAATAGATGTAAGACGCTTTCCAACTATTTATTTTTAATGTTTTTAATTTATGATCAATTTAGTTAATATAATGAATATATTAACTTACAGTTTCATAATCATAATAAGACCGTGCAGTCTATTATGTATATGTATAATATGTATATGCTATGGATGCTATGCCACGTTTTTTCCACAGACGAGGTATACGAGTAAACATTTCACCCAATGTATTTTTTCGGTCAACTTTTCTGGGGCCACGTCGCCCCATTTCCATTTTAGTTTCACTACCCACCGCAGATTCACCGTTCTCGTAACATAGAGGGCGCTAAAATCACACCTTTTTAGGTATCTGTACTACAGTTTAGGTGGGCCACCAACTCCCATAATGTGGAAAGTCTATTCTTATATCTCGTCGGTGCTTTTAAAGAATAGAATGTACGTTTATTTACATTTACATATATTAATATTTATAAATTGAATAACGTTGTTACGATAAAATAATAAAAGCAATATACGTATATGCATGTATGAAACAGATGAGAGAAAGTTCCAAAACAAAATCTGTTCATTCACACATTTCACACTCAAATTTATGGGAAACAATAAGCACGTCAATACAGTAAAATGTAAATGAATGTATTTATCCTTGAATCTGTCGCGTCAACGTTCGACACACGATTGACCGGATAAAATACACAGGTTGTTATACCCGACACAACAGCGCAACCGGTGGAATGTTAAAAACAAACGACACAAATATAATAGAGGGTAAAGAATATTCAAAATATTGTATTCTATTTCGTAGAAATACATACTGGAGAGGGAAAGAAACCCACTCTCACCCAACGACCAATCACACGACTTATTGAAGATCGCCGAAGCCATAGAGACATGTCTATGGCCGAAGCAAGCGGCGATCGTGACATCGTGATCGTGACCGGTCGAAGGCGGCCACCGCCGTCAGTGATACACCGAGTAGTTCACTTTGGACAGCTCTTACACCGTTATACGGATAGCTTTCGTCTCGATAAAGCACTCGATTTATAGCTGAAAGAACGTAGATTAATCCCCTGCAATTGACAATAACAATAAACGACCGGAACACGGTTAAAATCGCATTTAAACGCGGAATACCACTATTTTCGACCGGTGGCGCCACCCGTGGCAATTCGCTCAAACTGCTAGCCAAATTATACCGACAGGTGAGTGAAAATTCCTAGTGATGAAAAAATGCGAATACCTCGGTAATTAAGCGTTTAAAATGAACGTCATTAGTCGCAGATTTGTTCCTCAGGACTTATTGCATGGACCCAATAGTGCAGAATCTCAGAATTAGTAAAATAATTTTTACCTATATTACCGCAGCCCCTTATGGTGCGGCAACCCTAATTGCAACAGATTTCAATCGTATTTATATCGCTGAAAGGGCATCATTTCTCTTCGTCACGCATTAAATTCGAAGTTTTAAGAACTTAGATTAGTACTTTCTATCGGCTGTGAACCAGTAATTACAAGAACATTGTTACAATCACATTTATTTGAAATGGTTGACACTGTATCTCGTCATGCGTACCCCGGTTAGTTCACTTTGGACAACCCTTACACCGTTATA